GTAGAAGGTGTCTATACATATATACATATACACGACCAGGCGTTTTTTGTTTTGCTTGTATCCCTCGAGCAAACTGAGACATCTCGTCATAAAAGATTAATACATCGAACGAAAGAGGTTAGATTTTGTATTCGTACATTCAATCTCCTCAAAAGGATTCGTACCCTATTTATTTGGTGATGATTGAGTTTTTTCTATCGAGGTCGAATCCCAGATGCATATGTATGTATATGCATACCATACGTATGTATTATCGTCAAGAAATCATTTGGATACTTCCATATATTTGTATAAATATAGATTTATACACATTATGCAAGTTTATTTCCTCATTTGACCTTTATTTCGACTTGTTGGACACGACAAGATCGATTAATAATCAACGTTTCATCGTCTCAGAAAGAATAGCTAGACATCAACTAAATCAAAAATCTATTTCTCATAAGGAAGGCCAACAACTTGTTCCTTTCTTCTTTCGCCTGCTCGTTTCTTTCTTTCCCTTTATTCTGTTTTGTATTCGCTCGGTTGCATATGCAAACGAGCCGTAACTTCTGGAGTATTGGTGTCAAACTCTTACATAAGGGATATTTCAACAAGTGTCACCTGCCATTTGTTACTTGGTAAACGGATTTCTTTCTTTTTCTCTCTCTCTCTCACTCGCTCTTCTTTTCTCTTTCTTTTGCTCTTTCGTCTTTCGAAAAGCAAACATCTATCAATTATTTGACATTTACTCTATCTGATCTAATCGAGTAACCTTTCATCTTTTGTTTTAGTCTTTTCTTTTACTTAACATCGAACATAGATCTTGCTCCTATTCGAAATGCCCGGCGAAACATTGACGGACGATCCACAGCGCGAGCGTCTTGTCTATACGTACACATACACATCAGACGGTGATAATGGTCAAGCACCACAATCAAATACAGTTAAAGTAACAACAACAGTTGAAGAAGAAACGACGCCAGACGGAACAAAAGTTGTACGTAAGAAAGAAGAATCTCAACAAGTATCCAAAGTAACAAAAATACAAAAAATCACACGTGTACATCGACATCTAGTCGATCCCATCACTGGCGAACTTATTCGACAAGATGATCCGAGATATCAAGCATTAATAGCTGAATACGGCGAACCAACACCCACTACATGGTCAGATGAGCATGTCGTTTATGAAGGTACTTCACTACCAGCAAATGGAATAGTTACGAGACATGAAACAAACAATAACTTCTCACCAAACTCGTCCTTTTCTCAACAGAAGTAAGTAATAAACGTAACAGAAAATTCGAGTTGAATAAAATCGCTCCTATTAGAACACATTACCGAACAACTGAAGGACAATCGCCTTCATCTGTACGATCGTCTCAACGATCAGCAACAACGACACATCAACATCAACATACACATTATGAACAACAGCCTAATCGATTTGACCGTAGCACATATGCGTCTGGTGGTGATGTAAGTGAAGCTGGATTAACAATAAGAAATGGAGCTCGACATGATAATCGAAGCACTTATTCAAATGGACGACCATCGGGACGAATACCGCCACAACAGCATACGAACGGAGGAGGACGAAATGGTTATAGTCATGAAGTCCTTGAGCAGCGTTATAGCAGTGCGCGTTATAACGAGCCAGAAAATAATAAAAGTATGTTGTTTATTCAGTATTTACGTTTAATTTGCATATTTTATTATTATTATCATAGTAAATAGTGACGAAAAAATTATCGATTATGATCCAAATGATCCAAATTTAGTTGATGAGCCGTATCTCGATGTTGAGAATCCTTACGAAGGCCTTGGTCCAGGCCGACCAGATAGTATCGGTCGAGCACTTATGTCAACAGCTGGAAGACAATCGCCTGATAGCATCGGACAAGGTAAAAAGGCTGAGAAACAGATCTACTCATATATCTATCTTTGCTTTTGGGCACAAATTATTTGTTTTGTGTATGTGTATTATTTTTCAAAAAATCCGCTCCTATCACCGCTTATTTTTGTGTGCGTGTGCATATATCTGTTTATATTTTTCCCGCTAATATTATTTTGCAGCACCTCCCGGCTATGGTGAAGATTACGGTACATTGAGTCGTATGTATACGTCATATGGTATACATGAAGATGAGTATCATCGTGGTCGACGATCGCCTTCAATCGATACAGAATTTCGAGGTATGACATTTATTTTGGTAGTCCTTGCTTTTGCTTCACCTCGCTTTGCTTGGTTTGAAATCTTATTCGTGTTTCGTTCACTTGAATTTATAACCTAGAACAACGTTGGCGTGATCCTGATCTGCAAGAAGTAATCGAATATCTTAGTCACACAAGTGATGTCATTAAAGAGAATGCGGCGGCGTATTTGCAACATTTATGTTATAATGATGACAATATCAAATCAAAAACCAGATCTCTCAATGGAATTGCTTATCTAGTTGCATTACTTCAACATGAGAAACCCGAAATCCAGAAGAACGCTTGCGGTGCTTTGAGAAATTTATGTTACGGAAAGCGAAATGATGAAAATAAGGTTCGTTTATCAGCAAGAAAGTCTCTATCATATGGAGTACGTTGATTTGCGTTTTCTAGATCGAATTAAAGAATCGAAATGGTATACCCGCATTGATTCATCTCCTACGTCGAACACCCTATGAAGATGTTCGAGAATCAGTGACAGCCGTTCTTTGGAATGCATCCTCTTCACCTCAATTGAAAGGACAAATCCTCGATGAAGGACTCAACGTGCTTGTAAAAAACATTATTATTCCCTTTTCTGGTTGGGATCCGGATATTAACCGTCGTTTGAATCCTCAGGGAAAATTTCCAGCTGTTTTCAAAAATGCAACAGGAATACTCCGGTAAGTCAATATTCTCAGCCGGGCGATCTAATAAGATTAGCTATCTTTTAAATTAGTTCGATAAATCAATGACTATGTGCATAGAAAAAAAATCGTCGTATTTAATCGAGGTTCATTTCATAGAAAATTTGACATGATGAATGATTGAGAGAGTATAAAGAAATTTTTGTTCAATAACACAATGTGCTCGACTGAGCATGTACCGAAACTGATTTTATTGATGATGACTAAATCAATTAACTCATGCGCTATAAGTATAGATGGATGTCTTCATCTACCAAACTAACGACGAATATTTAAATGAACTGTCTAATTCAATAAAGAATGTCGAAGGCATTTGGTGATCGAGTGAAGCATCTAGTCTAATGATATTACCGAAGTGTCTGTTATATCTGATTTATCCAATTAGAATCACTCTCTTGTATTAAACTTCTGCATAGGATCGACTAGAATTGATGTGTATTCTAAGTAAACTTTTTTTTGTTAACTAGAAATTGTTCATCTGCTGAACACGATGGTCGTCGTAAGATGCGCGAATGCGAAGGCTTCATTCCATCTCTTCTACATGCTGTGAATTCCAGTCTTCAGTCTCTAAATGAAATTAATAATAAATCGATTGAAAACTGTATGTGTATATTACGTAACCTATCGTACAAATTGCAAGAAGTGGTTGATCCGGATTATGATCGTAACTATCCAGCTATGGCTGCAGCAGCATCGACTTGGAGTATGACACCATCACAATATAATGAACATGAAAAGACCAAAGTCGGTTGTATGGGTTCAAAACAGAAGAAAAGTAAACAAATTTATGAACAAACGGGAACTTATAATAATAATACGATTCATGCTATCATGGCGCCACGCGAAGGTCGACCTGTTGAAATGCTTTGGCAGCCAGATGTTGTAGGAACTTATGTGCATCTCTTACGACACAGTAGTAATCCTGATACACTTGAAGCAACAGCTGGGTGTATTCAAAATTTAAGTATGTATTAGCAATGCTGAGAGTTTCTGATTGTTCATATCTGACGTATTTCTTTTAGCTGCTTGTTATTGGAAACCGTCAGTAGATATACGTGCTGAAGTTCGAAAAGCTCGTGGCCTATCAGAATTAGTCGATTTACTACGCGTTGACGAATGTGATGGTGTTGTGAATGCGTCGGCAATTGCTTTGAGAAACTTAGCAATTGATCAAAAGAATCGTGATGTACTCGGTGGTTGGGCTATTAAAGAACTCGTCGCTGTCTTACCCGATCCATCCGAACATGGAACCGGTCGTCGACGTCACTCCGACGAAACATTAACATCCGTTCTTGCTGCACTCAATGAAATTATTCGTGCAAATGATACGAATGCACGTATTCTCTTCGAGGAAGGTGGCGTGAAAAAAATGATTGGTATTATGAATGCGAAAGGACATGTTTATAATTCCAAAGTTGTTAAATATACCGCTCATGTACTTAATACCATGTATAAGCACCGTTCATTGCACGAATTGTATAAACAGCATGGCTATAAAGAGTCTGATTTCATTCACCATCGATTATTGAATTCGAAATCATTAACATCAAGTCCACAATCGACGTTACATCGACCCAGAGGCGATATGGGACAACCGACACATAGTGCATCGAAAGGCAAACAAATCACTCGACCACAGAGTAAGATCTAACGATTGTTTAAAAAAAAAATTAAATTCGATTGGAATTTTCTAGGAGGAGACGAATATCGTATGCAGAAATTAAATCAAAGCATGGATAATCTACAAAGACCATATGGAAATGGAGTAAGTCTAATCAATTATACCTTATTCATAGAAACTGTAACAAAGAGCAGTTAGCGATCCGAGTCAATGCATATGAATACCGAGCTTGAAGTGTAGAAAACTCATTAAATGATGACAGTCGCATTAGTCAAGTTAATAATCTTCTCTTGAATTAATTTAGACAATGTCCAGTCATGGCGATCCACATTCCGATCTATATGCAACTGTTCACAAGAATCGATCACAACAAATTCAGCCAGCCACATGGGATCAGCTTGGCCAAGCCTCCACTTCACCTGATTCTTGGGTATAGATAGAAGCGTGTTTGATTGATCTATTGATTCAGCTAATGTCAGATCTGTTTTATGCGAGAAAAAGAAAAGACGAACGAAGAAAAAAAATCAAATCTTTCTTGTTTTCTTTTTTTTTAATCTATTCTTTCCACTATTCTTTGTTGTGTAATGTTCTTTTTTAATTGCCATCCTTCATACCTATCTAACTTGCCTCCAATGAAACACATTGTACATGAGTAGTAATTTTCTTTGTGTTTGTACGTTTCTGTTTTCTCAATTACTTTCTCGAGTATCACTAAAGATGTGTGAGTTAATGAACACATCCTCGTTTTTCTCTCTTCTCTTTTCATTTCGTGTATATAAAAACGAAAGAAGTGTTATTTTCTTCTTACTCAGGTTTATGCGTGTGTGTTTATGCTTACTATTCTTTTGTCGTACTTCTTTTCCTTTTTTTTTTATGAATTGAAATAAATCATCGAACAACATAGGGTTCTTTTAAACGCGCATCTTTGTCGAGCTTATTTTCGAGTTCACTGTAATTCCTCTGTGATGATTGTTCATGACTGAAAAGACAATCAATGAAAGTTAGAAGCGAATGAGAATACACAGACTCTTTTAAACGTTGCTCGAGAATTGCTAAACGAAACTTTCCTTGCTGATGTTCGATGCTCGTTGGATTTTTCGCGGCGAGATATGTTAGTTCAGCTTCATAATGTGATTGAATAACATTAGCCCTTCGTACTAATTGATGTTCAAAGTCAAGAGTAACCTTATGACGAATTTGTTCAGCTATCTGTGCGGTGATCCGTTTAGGATTACCTAAATATCAAACCATCGAAAGAATCAAAAGAAGATTATGTATATACAAACCGATTGCAGCTAAATATGGAGCTAGATAATCGATTTCATCATCTTTGTTTTGTTCAACTCCTTCTTCCTAAAATATATTCTCTTAAACTCAGACAGAATGTAACACATATGCAGGTCCGACGTTATGAAACCTATTATGCATGTTCAATGATTTACCAGTAATTCATTATATAGTTTGGATTTTTCATTTCGATCGATGTCATATATACTGACTTCTAAATCACTGGCAAGTTCCTCCTGTTGCCGACAGGATTGAAGTTCGCGTATCTTTTGCAAAGCAAAGGTTAGTTTTTAGCAACTTCAACGATTTGTACCTCATCTTCTGATTTTCGCACTTGTTTTATCACATTTTCCTCCCGTTTAATTAGCTGCAGCAACTGGGCGAAAACATCACGTTGTGATGTTGGCGGAAGATCTGCATCAGCTTGATAGATTTTGTGCAAATCATCGTTCCATTTGAATGCGAATGTCTTATCATTCCAATTTGCAGGTTTGATAAACGTTCTATATGGAACTAGTCTATACAACGTTCTCCGTTTGTCAAATTTGCTACCTTACTGAAGGAGTAATACAATTGGCATCTCGATGATAGGTTAGAATGAATTTATTATCTTTAACAGCATAGAGAAGTTCTTGAATATCATCGTTAGAATTCAGTGATGGATTGCGATTGAATCGTTCCGTGATAGACTAAAAGTGCAGACGAGCGATGGTAACGACATCTTATCATTGGAAACAGCTGCTTACAAGAATTGATCGCCGTGTGACTTTATGAGCTGGACTGACTTGGTTCGATTGAGTTTCAAAAATAATTTTTCGAGATGCAAGGCAATGTTCGTGATCAACAAAATACTCCGTCAACTCATTTGGTGTTTCATGTCGTTTGAACAAATTATCTGGGCGTGATTTATTATAAAAGATCATCGTCCGATCAAAGGACGATTCAAAATTATAAATATATTCTACATAAAAACGTCTCTCCCGTACTGAATTCCATGATCCTACCTTTCCAGTGGTCATTTCGTCCAGGTCGATACTTTTCATAGACTCGATTTGTCTTGACATCGTACTCTCTCATTTCCAGTTTATCATAACGATGTTCGTATCGACATATGATGTAGATCAAATCGCTGACTACAAGTTGCTCCTTTGAATGGAAAGAGTTTCGCGTGCAACGACGAACTTACAATCATAATCGTCGAATTCTAACACTTTTAGAACAATGCCATCTTTCATGCTGTACGGAGCGTATTTCTGTACGCATGTCTTTTTAAAGTAGCATGTTTTACGAGCATTTGGATAGCGCTTTTGAAAATCTAAAGAAAGAAACCGATTTTGATGGCATTTGTCCAAGGCAAACTTTTTGATGTAATATCGAGTGGATCAACCCATGACAATGGCAAGTCAATCTCGTTCGGAATAGTATCCCTCGTTGCCTACTATGAAGAAAACATGTACATCTACATAGAAATGATGGTTTTACAATATTTGGTATCGTTGATGTATAAAATTGTTTGTAGATCTCGGATTTGATACGATCGGGATAGTGTTCATAGTATGAAATTGCATTGATATTGGATACAGGCAAATGCAATGGATTAGTGGAGTAGAACTCTGAAATTGTATCGAGAGGTTGATAGAACGAAAATCTCTTCATGTGAATCTCAACTGATTTTGTCGAACCAATCCATTTGATTGGATAGAGTTAAAATAGATCGTTGCTGAGACGAGTTTTCATCATTATCATCTGCATGGATGTTGTTTGTGAATGAATCAGTGTTAGACGTTGAACGAGGAAACATACATTCCCATCGAGCTTGATCATTCAAATCGAATTGAAGAGACTGAGCAAAGAAAGTTAAGCTTAAATTTAAAATAAATTCATACTTTGCAACCATCAGAACAATCTTGCATATTGATCCAATAGTTCTGATTATTCCAGACACTTTCAACACCTAAATACTCGCTATCATCTGTTGACTTAGCGTAACCTGTAGTTGGTTCAATATAAAATGCGTCAGTTATATCGCACTTTCCCGGTAGAATTAGTGTCCAAGCATGTATTCGAACACCATACAGTGGATCATCTATTGGTCGTTCGATTTCCTATTGATTCATTTGTTTAGCTTCACGAGATGCTCAGTGGTTTTCGAAACATACTGCTTTTCGTCGGTTTTCTTCATTCTCGATTCGATTTTTCTCTATCTTTATAACGTCTAAATGCCGTTGTCGCATATAAGCATCATAAGTCGATGTCAGATCTTTCAACGGCTTCACAGCATATTTTTTACATTGGCATTTCACGGGTTCTACATCTTCCTGCAGATATATTCATAGTAGAAAGAAGTATTTTATTACAGTATACCGTTTCTCTTCGTCTACTGTATGGATTTGGTAGACGAGTCGTGTCCATACAACAAATTTCACGCGTAGCATATCCACTAACAATATACGCATCATATCCAGCACCAATTAGTAATGAGCAAAGCAGATTAGCATAATCAAAACAATTCCCATGTTGTTCGACAAGAATTTTAGTCGGTGAACTAAGTATGGGCGGCTGAAAAGAAGAGATTTCAGGAATAGAATTTATGTCTGATAACTTACAAGTTGATAAGAAGGATTGAGAAAGTCATAATTAAGATGGTCAGCAAGAAATTCTGCGGCTAAATGCCATTCTGTCAAATCCGAGTATGGTAACATGGTCGATCGAATTGTTGTACAAACAAATTTCTGTATGTCATGATTGAGATTTTTCTTTTAAAATAAGAGAACAATATTGTACTGACTGGCACACCACATTCGTTCAGAGGATTGAGAAGAAGTGCGCTTCGGTGAGGATAGATATGGTGATATTGACGGCGAAAATTTTCAACATAAGTCAATATCAAATCTTCTCTTTTTGAGTTGGATCGATAGGATTCGGCATGCTGTTCAATGTTCAAACAGGTAATCGGCGAACTAAATAGAGTGAGAAAGGAAGCACATACTGATACGATTTCATTTTTATCACGAGTTTCTATTATATAATATCTAAGATCATCTGATTGAAACTTACACTGGATACAGACCATCAGCAGTCAATAATTTTGCTGAAGATGCAGCTTCGTGTTGATCGTCGATTGATTCAGCGACGAATTCGTCACTCTCATCCTTTTGAAAAGATGCAACAAGCAACTACACAAAAGAGAACTATCAAACAACAATTGGTATCGTTTTGCAAAACGGGACTAACCTCTTCACTTTCGTCTGCTATTTTACTCATTCGAACGGTACCCTCTATCGAAAGCAAACTACATAATGAGATCGATAAACCTATCTATGCGCTAATTAAACGAAACGAAAATCTTTCAGATCTTAGCTTCACTTGTGTAAATGTTACCAATGGTTAAATAGTTGAAATTCATGTCTCTGCTGTAGTTTGTCTCAGTAGAATGGTAGTCTATTTCTCCAAAGCTATCGATCAGTTTTGATGATAACTGTAAGGGTATCTATATTGTGTACTGTTCGACTATTGTTAGACACTAGTGACAACTACATTGCACCACTATTCTGCCCGTTTCTGATTGGTCGGATAAAACTGTCATTCATTATGAATTTAAACTTGCTTGCTTCCACTTCATTTCCATATCTAATCTCGATAGTTTGTGAATGCCAAACGTCATCAAAATGACAAATAGATCATTGACCTGTTACTGGTACGTAGAATCCAACCAACTCTGATCTCGCACTATTCGCTGAATTTCTTCTTTTAGTGGTGGAGAGAGAGATTTGTCTAAAGTTGAAGTTCAATGTTGCCTTTGTCTTCGATACTGTCATCAAGAATGTTTATCTCTAAGCACTGGGTAACCCATTTATTGAAAAGTCTCTTTCATCGATGAAGTCTTCTTTTTCTGTAAAGACCAATGCTTCCTTTCATGACAAATTACCAATTCGTGTGTAAAGACTGTTCACAGGACAAAACTGATGAAAACTTTCTAAAGAAAAACGCAAGTATGTTTTATATGTTTGGTTTTCGAGCAGATAATGGGAAATATTCGGTGTTTGTAGCATTCAATCAATTATGCACGACTGCATTGGCAAATTTAACTCAACAATCAGCGACGCAAACATTCTTTTCGCGAGATCGAGTATGTTATTTCTGAAGAACTGATTTGAATAACATTTAAGCGTAGGAAATTATACCATTCATCGATGAAAAATGGGATTTATTAACATTTTCACAAAAGAAAAACAAACCAACATTACACGCATCAGTTTACAAAGCATTAGTAAGACGACTGACTTATCAATAGAATTAATTGCTAACTCACTGACTCTCCTTTTTAGGCACGTGAAGATCTTTTCGTCGCATCGGAAATCAACGGCGAAGTGATGATTGCATTACGTGAACGATCTTTAGAAAGAATCGGCCCAACGAATGAAAAACCTCACGAATTCATCAATTCCAACATTAATCGTGCTCAATCTCCAGGCACATCTAATCTTACAAATTCTCTTCTCTCATCATCGAACACAATTTCTGCTCAATCCAATCAATCTGGCAACGGCACATTTCATGGATCATCATCAGCGAATAGTGTTTCATCGTTAGCGAATAGTGAAGTGACACGGCGAACAAGTAAACGAAAACTAGCCAATGAAAACTCGATGAATGCCAAACGACGCGGCGAAGTACCGAAATTAGAACGATTAATACCAAAAACTTTCCCACCCGAATACCCGTTCAACAAAGAAGGATATAGGTTTGTATGGACGAGTTCAAAATTTGCATTATGAATGTCGTCTGTTCAGATATCATTTAGCAGAGCCAGATCCACACTCACCATTTCGACAAAAATTTGATGAAACAGAAGTATGGGCTGGTAAGACTATTCTTCGATGAAATTTTTCGATCGAGTTTGAATTAAATTCTAGGAAAGCCAATTCCTGGACATTTATATCGAACATTTATCGAAACTGAATGTTTACTATCGTTGAACGACCGAGGTACTATTTAAAACGTTTTCTCCACCTGATCTCAGCTTCTCTTTAGCTCAACAACTGAAATTAAATGACGATCGGTTAACAGTGACTGGTGACAAAGGATACTGTTCTGTTCGATCAACGCATCGTAAGTTTTGCTAGACTGAAATGATTTTCACCTATCGAATTCTTTTCAGCGGTCTCGCATGGCGCATGGTATTACGAAGTGACAATAACATCGATGCCTCCAAATACAGGAACACGTATTGGTTGGGCTCAACATTTAGCAAATCTACAAACGCCGATCGGAACAGATAAATTCGGTTATTCATGGCGTTCGAGAAAGGGCACCATCTTTCACGAAGCTTGCGGTTCACATTACTCGAATGGTGGTTATGCAGAAAACGATGTGTTAGGTTTTTTGATTATTTTACCTGAAGTATCGCATCCAGATGTGATGTTACCACGGAAATACAAAAAATTAGTGAGTTATTTGCATGGTGGAGACGTATTCTAAACGAACTGAGCTTGACTTTAGCCATTGGTAAAGTTCAAGAATTATATCTATTTCGAAGAACGAGATGACTTACGTGCAGGAGAAGCAAGTTTGAAAGCAACCGACGGAGGAAAGGTAAAATTAAAGCGAAGAAAACACCTTTCGTTCATGCTCTCTGTGATTATAGATTATTTTCTACAAAAATGGTGTTAATCAGGGTGTAGCGTTTACAAATATCTATGAAGGAAACTATTATGCAGCTATTTCGATTTATTATGGTGCTACGGTAAATATACATTCGAATTATCTTTCATTCTCAAACGATAATTGTACTTCAGGTATCTGCCAATTTCGGTCCAAGCTTTGTTCATCCACCAACTGATAGTCCAATTCCATGGAAACCGGTCTGATCATTCTTCCATATCTATTATCGTCTTTCGAACATGCATTTCTTTTCTTTTAGTTAACCGACTCCATTCCCGAAACATACTGTACACATGCATTGAACGATCTACTCTTTCATATTTCACACGACGGTAAATTAGGTCTTGAGTGACTGACATGCTGCACTGCTCGACTGATTACCTGCCTATTTGTAGAAGGTCTACTATTTATGAGTATATTTTCTGTGTTCGGTTTTGTGATTAACTCGATTTTGCCTTTTCCTCTTCTTTTGTTAACTCTTGCATATATTCGTTTTCTTTCTGTTCATATGCGTGTATTTCTTGCATGTTGTGTATTTCTGTTCGACTTACTGTGTGTAACACTACATTGGGGAGAAAAACGAACATCAGTGTTCACGCTAAATTCTGCCACAAGTAAAACAAGTAGAATATATAAATATAGAATTGACGTTTAAACAAAACTTTCTTACTTATGCAAATAAAACTGATTTGCTTATTAGGATAATGAAAGACAGAACGATCGCCATACATATTTAGTATTATTGTTTAGAGCAGCACGTTGATTTCAACGATCCAGCAACAATAGGCAAAGTAAGAATGATGAACATACACTTGCTTAAAAGTTTTTCCTCACTGAATAATCAATAATACATATGTAATTTCCTGCTTACGATTAGTAGTGAATATCTGCAATGAAACACTTTTGTTTTCATCTAGAATTCTGGTCGAAATTCAAGTCGCGACCGATCTCGTCGGCTGGCTACGCTCAGTGCGCCGTTATTTGAATAACACTCAAACTGTTTTTTTTTGTGTTTATCTCAGATGTTTGTTGATGTTTTTCTTTGTTTTAAACACGAACAGTTGTTCGATATTGCAAATAATGAATAGAATGATTTGATTTCCGTGTACTGTTTCTATAGAAAAGATTTTTTTACATTCACATAAGTCAACAGCTTGAATGGATGAATATAGATGCAAAAAAAAAGACAAGGAGTACAATATTAATCTACGACAGAAATGGGGAACTGTTCATCTTGACTCAGTTTAACGGAGTGAAAATGGAAGAAGATTAGCATGAAGACCACTGGAGAAAAGCTTGTAAAGAAATAGACCATAGGCAGTAAATGTAGCAACTGCATTGATTGTATAACCAAATGTACGTGCTGGATGATTAATAGCAGCATCAAATGTGTAACGGCTAACGAATGAAGAAATTAGAATTAATGATGATTCATGGATGATGATTGTAGCAATGAACTCACCCGAGAATGAAGAGGCCGGAGAGAGCTGGAATAATACGAAGATTATTGGATTCGAGAACTGAAGCTAAAGCTAATTTAGCTGCAGTGAAAGCCAAGAATGATTCGGTTGTATTTGTTAAAATTCGTTGAGTGATTTGTAAATGATGATTTCCTTCGGATGATGCTGGTTCAATTCCATCTTTACAAGAAAGTGATATTCATTCTCTTGTTACTTATTCTATATGAGCTTACATTTAGCACGAACACCGATCACACACCAAACGGCTGTAACCATGGAGAGTCCCTAAGAACGAACAACGACTATGCACACGTAATCCAGATCATCAATAGATTTACTTCAAGACCAGTCCATCGGAGAGCATCTATAGAAAGTATTCACAATTATTGTTACAAAAGTCGAACAAACTGATCTTACAAGCAACACGATCGGCAGCCGACGAAAGGATAGGAATACCAATGGCAGGAATATTGCGGTTAGCTAATAGAAGGAGACCACCGCTAACACCGAGACCAGCCAAGATGTATGGGCCATTCTTTTGTAATTCAAACTCAATTGTACGAGCTGTCTCACCTGGTCGTGAGGTGGTAGCACCAGTCTTAGAGAGACGAAGAAATACGATAAGAGATTCCTGCGAAGAATTCTATAGAAACATACTGAATAGGCCATTTCGTTTCAATAGGATTCGTAAATTTAGATTTCTGAAGATACATAAAGGCATGTTAATATCAAATAAAAATCGATTGATTCAAGAATTCTTTGTAAGCGCACATGTACACCCGAGTCAGTCGGAAAAGACGAGAAAATGGTTCGATGTTACAGAAATGATGACGACGAAAAGGGTGCAAGCAACACGCCGACAGTCGAAGAAGAGAGAAAGAAGAAGGAGAATAACAAATATCGTAGCTGTCTGACTACACGGTTTATGCAAGGGGGGGATGGGGGTCAACAAGAACAAGAAAATCGAGAAGAAAAGGAAGAAAAAGTAATCGTACTAAAAGGTCTATGGGCTCTGGCTTTTTTCGCTAAGCTATCAATCTGTTTTGTTTTCCATGTACTGATTAACTGTTTAAGAGAAGGCAAATCAAGCAATCATATAGAGCAACTCACTGTTCAATCATCTATCGATTACTCGAGTAACGTAACAACTTCGATAGACATACTGCTCAAGGCAGAGATTTTCCATACTTATTATTTCGTTTATTCTAAAGAAAAATTCTAAAATCTAGATGAATACAATAATAATGATTATCATGAAAATGCGTTGAATACGAAAGTTAGTTTTTATAAATGAGAGTTTGTTCAGCATCGAACATTTCTTGGATAGTCACATTGATCTGTGAACACATTGTATCGCAGGGATGATGGACAATCCCGACTTAATAATTGAGCGCTTGTTTTTCCCCCATCTGAAATATATTCATTCTTATTTAGCTGCAAGTGAAAGTTTTCTAGATTTACCTTCATAATAATGAACACATTCGAAGTATTTGCCCTTTGCACAGTTGTATTGATCCGTAAAACGACCGTTGGAACGACATCGAAAGTATTCTATTCAAATAGAAAGCGATCACATTGTAACCGTGGAAAAATTTCGAAAATACGAACCAATTTCACAAAACTGTCCTGTGTATCCTTGTTTACATAAGCAATAGGCTTTCTCGGGTGAATTTTCATAACACGTGCCATCATTCAGACATTTAACTTCTCGACAACTATTATCTGTGAAAGCAAACGGCTCATTGATATTCGACATAGAAAAAAACTTCCTCACATAAAATATTCTCACACAAACGACCAGTGAAGCCATTCGGACATGTACATGTTTGTGGATCGATTTCTGAACATGTACCGCCATTTCGACAGGGACATATTTTTGTATCAGTAGTGTTTGTTACAACTAAATTAGAATTCATAATATAATCTGGCGCAAAGTTGTGTAAAATTGATTACTTGAAATTGGTAAACACTGTGATCGAAAATTCCCATCTGGACAGGCACATATAAACGATGATTGAAGATTGTAACATATACCACCATAGAGACCTAACCGATTCTTAGATCGTGATTGATACCAGTATTTTTTTCCAAAAAGTATTTCACTTACACGGATAGGATTCACATGGATTTGTTACTAAACAAATATCGAAATAAACGATGATGCTATTCAACTGCAAACTTACAAGTTTCACAGTTCCGTCCAGTGTAACCCGACACACATAAACATCGATTACCGTTTAGTCCAATAAGACACTGACCACCGTTCAGGCATCCTTCATGGTTCAATGGGTTGCATACGTCTGTAGAAAATGTACTGGTTTGAACGGTTGAAGTCGTACTTGACTGTGTAGAAGACCCTACAGGAAAAAGTCGACGGAAATTTTCATTGAGAGTGCTGTAAATATATGATTACTTGAACATGATGTGGCAAATTCTCCATCTGGACATAAGCATACGTATGGAAATGATGGGTCATTGATGGGAAAACATTTGCCTAGATCACATAAATTTTCTGGGCAAGTTAACTGTGCTCTCGCTATTTAAACAAAGATAATCGAATAGATTACAATCAAATTCAATGAACATACTGTCACAGAATCTTCCCGTCCATGTTGGTAAGCAATCACATATGAAACTGGATAAACCTTCAATACATAATCCATTGACACAAGGATTCGAAGCACATACATCACGAGTAACTATAAACAATCCAAATCGGTTGATTTATATGACAAAAAACAAGCAAGGCAAACGGATTTACTATTGCAACTTGTTAGTGTAATAGTGTCGTCATCACATCGACAGACATAACCATAAAGCAAATTTGGTACAACTTCACAAGTACCTTGACCGCATGGATTTTGTGCACATGGATCTAATTCAGATGAAATACGTGATTATGTATGTCAATCAACTCCATTTCTAAGACAAACTTTCCGATGGACACGGTAGTATCGTGTTGGAACCATTTTGACATCGACAATAGTATGGCAATGTAGGATTCTGTGTTTCAATGCACATGCCCGAACCACAATAAATAGAATCGCAAATATCTATAGTAAATTTAAATCTGACGATGCATAGAAGTATCCCACTGTCAATGCAGTTACCTTCAGTATGAACCAAGTAGTGCTGAAAAGCGAACAAGATGAAGATTATGAGCATGTTATATGAACAGAACATTCTCTAATAATGAACAAACGACAAGTCTGTAGACAATCAATTAGTTCGATCTTTTTTTTCTCTCAATTTTTGTCATACATATTCGTGTAAGAATCTTTTATTATGATATCAATTAGCATTTCAAATCGTTCGAACACGTCGTCTGTCTCGTCAATAGCTTTTACTATAGGCGTGGTTATCTTCATCACGTCTATATTTCAGAAATGGATACATCAGTATAGGCAGTGTGATCTTGAAATAGATGGACACTCTGTGTAATATGATCATCGTTGTCAAACAAAACGATGTACGTATGTTAGATTCTTTCCGCATTTCAATAGGTGTTAATTTTGAAGCGAAAATGATGACTTCATTATCCGTTTTCAACAGTAATGTAAATAAATGTGTAAACGCTGATTTCTGTTTTAAATCAGAAGAGAGAAATTTCTTTTTGATCCGTCGCTAAGACACACATTACATCAACATCTTTTCAATTCTGTCATTTTTCTCAACCGTTCTGTTTGATTTCTCTCCATAGAAATTGATCGTCACTTTCCATTGGTATTATTTCAAAATTTTCCTTTTAAACAACGGTTTTTTTTCTCCATCATTGAATACAGCTCTCTAATTCTAATTGACAAATCAATTTGACTTCGAGTGTGTCGAAAGTAGTCTTTTATACAAATTAATCACGTACTTTCTGTGCTCGCCATTCATTCAGTTATTGAAATAATTCATTCGGGCTGCAATTGTTACATCTCATTGATTGTAAGTGAAGAAGAAGTAGTCAACTTGAAATGCTTCAGCTATTTTAAAGTAAATATATTACACATTTGTGCAGATTGACGTTTAATCGTCGAAACACACTCACATATCTATGTCGTAGCAAAGTCACCAAAAAAAAATGAATGCAGATTACTCATTCACCGATCCGACGTGGAAGTTACCTCCGATAACAAATCCTAGTAGTATGCACTCTGTCACGTATGATGCATCACAATTACCACCTAACCAAAACACGAATGATGATGCGGTAGGTTATGGTACATAGTTGGTGTTTGGTTTTTCTTCCGAACTTAACGTACAAGTTAATAGTGTTTTTAATTTCGTCTTCTTTTTCTCGTTCGTAGTCAACTTGGAATAATCAACCAAGTAACGTTCGATATAATCCTCCAATAAATCAGCAAGAACAAGGAGAGTATTATAGTCAACCGGATCCGTATTCTCAACCACCACCTCAGCCTTATCAGCAGCCGGAGCAACAATTTTTTCAATCGGGTCCTCCTGTTTCTCAACATCCTCCTCCTCAACCTCAACCATATCGACAACCTGAGCAGCAGTTTTTTCAACCTCGTCCTTCTGTTTCGCGTCTTCCTCTTCAACCACATCAACAAGAACAAGAAAAACAGTTTCCCCAACCTGGTCCCCCTGCTTCTCATCTTCCTTCTCCACCATATCAACAACCTGAACAGCAGTTTTTTCAACCTCGTCCATCTGTCTCGCGTCTTCCTCTTCAGCCACATCAACAAGAACAAGAAAAACAGTTTCCCCAACCTGGTCCCCCTACTTCTCATCTTCCTTCTCCACCATATCAACAGCCTGAGCAGCAGTTTTTTCAGCCTGGTCCTCCTGCCTCGCATCCCTTTCATCAATCATATCAACAACCAGAAGAACATTTGATGCATAATCGATTTCCTCCATCTCGCCCTCAAATGGGAGAACGGCCAAAGCCACCTGGACCTCCTGCTCCTTCTCAGCCTCCTCAATTCTATCAACCCGCAAGGGAACGTTTTATAGAACAGAATGCACCACAACCTCCGCCAGTGCCTCATCCTCAGTTCAACCAACAATCCACTAATCAACACAGAAATATCGTTAACCATAGCGACAACTTTGATTTTGCACATAATACTAACACTGAATATCACATGCCAAGACAACAACAACAACAACGTAATCATGGACTTCCCAATGCGGAGCATAACAATCAAGGAGGTAATTTCCCACCGTTACCTCAACCAGCACCAAGACGTTTACAAAATGCCGATCACAATCATCAATCATTCTTTACTGATTTGGCACCTAACCAAGAAAATGATCACTCATTGGAAATGCACAACTTTGAACAGAAGACGAAGTCACATAGTCGCTCGACTAACGACGATATGTTTGATTCGATCCAATCCACTAATCATCGTTCAAATAAGATGAATATTCACGAATATCTTTATGGACTGTCGGTCGCTGATTCTGGTTAGTTTCAAAAGTACTGTTTCACAAAATGAAAACAATCGACTTCTGTAGGTAGCTATGTAAAAACATTCAAAAACCAACGTCGTCTCCTAAGCGATGAGCGAAACAATCATCGAGGAGTGATGAATGAATATAAAAGTTTTCTTCAAAATGGTGGCTTCGGTCCCCAGTTCGGTAAAGTTAACCAGCAGACACTGCAAGAAAAGGTATTCACTGATTGCCTACATTTTAATATTCGTATGTATGCCTTTTCTTTGTAAGATGGAGATAGAGAATAAGAAGAAGTTATATTCAAAACAAGTCCGAGCGATCAACCAACAGAAAATTGAAGATCAAATGCGATTGAAAAACAGTGGCGAACAATTACGAAATCGAACGTATGCCGCGCCTGTCATTCAACATCGTCGAGTAAAATCTCTCACTTCTTATCCGAAAATCAAACATTGTCATGCTCTCTGTTTTCAGCAACACGAACTTACTTCTCACCTTTTATTCACACCGGAAGTGAAAGAATTCGAACGAAAAATCAAACGTGATCATGACGCCAGTTGTAAATGTTCTTTGCATTCACGACCATTTCATTCGTCGGCTTAACCGCAAGAGAAACCAGAAACCGGGTTGTAGATACCTGTTTGTTAATTCTAATAAACTAGTTACACACTTATTTTTCTATTCGAATGAGCTTGTTTTGTTCCATTTATAATATTACACATGTTGATGTGTTCTGTGACATTGCGAATGATCTTCGATCGCAAATTAGTTTTTCTAGGATATGACAAAACCGGATGTTGTATCTCGACGAGTGTCAACAAAACGAAATCTATTGGCCTCGTCTATTCAGAATGGCGCTGGAGATGCTTCAATCAATAATCTATTGTTAGGCATCGACAACATCGTTTAAAACGAGGAATATTCAGTGCCCACTAATCAGCCATATCTAATAAAAGAGACACTCAACGTGCTTTTTTCACTCTGCGTTAAGTTCATCCAGAACATGAACGGCATTGAACGTGGGTCTGGTTTTGATTTGAAAAATTCCTAGGAGGATAATCGTTCGATTCGCAAGGTTATTATCAATCCTGTTCGAGATTCATTCATAGTAAAAAACTAACAAGAGCATTATCGCTTCAAACATTTTCATCTACAAGGTCACGGACAAAATAAATCTGAATCATTATCAAATAATCATGAGTTTTATTTGACACAAAAAACTCTTTATGATCTTGTTGACAAGAGAGAAAAAACCGACGTTTCTCTCATCAGTTGTCTCGTCTTCTTTGCTAATAAAATATTTATTTAGATAATTATCGAACTGTTAGTTCTCGAACAGCTCGTGCACGAATGCTTTTTTTTACTATGTGTCAGTTATGATATCTGCCAAGCATAATAGAACTTTTTTCCTCTGACAGTTTTTCATTACTCGGCTCAAAGAGTAGTGTCGAGGATGGGATTTTACTGGCGAGTTGCTCATGCGTAATAGAATCGAATTGACGTTTGTTAATAATCAGTTATTCATCTTAATTACTTCTTCTTTTTGACTTTTACTTTCGCGACAAAATCAGAAATAAATCACAATCACTAATCGTCATTGCAGCAACGAACAAACAATGCACATTGTATTATTCTTTTTTAAACGAAAGAAGAAAGCTTTTCCTGAATAGTAGAAGAAATATGCTCGTTTCCTTACTGACAGAGAAAAAGAATTCTTAGCAGAATATGCATTAAATGTTTTAAAGAGATCCTCGTCTCATTAAATAGATACGAGGAGTTTTATTTAGATAAGCCATCGTTCGATTGGTTTTAATTAACAAGCACAAAAAGCCCGTTAGCAAAGCGAAGGGAAGAGAAAGAATCGAAATAACTATCGATTGTATTGTTGAGTGAACTTGGGCTCGTCTGATTACGCTTTATTTAGCGCGCCCACGTTTCTTATCATCATCGATCGAGAAGAGAGGCAGAGACAACATGATGCTCTCCGTAAGAAATTCAATCGGTATTCTATTCGCGTAGTCAAAACCATGCGTCGACCTTCGATTCTGATCGAGTTTATATTTGACGTGAAAAAGAAACGAGCGAGAGAAAGCACGTAAATCCACACTCATTTCTCTTTATCAAATCTCGTTCTACTGACACATTAGAAAATGAGCGAGAAAAGCACGTAGTCTTTTTCTGCTTCATAACAAAGAATAGTTTTTTAGAAACCGGAAGGCTACACGATGGCAGCAAAGGTGTATTATTTACAATTTTCCCTTTTTTTTCTATTTCTTTCTATAATCATTTTTCCTTTTTATTCAACTAATAGAGTCAGAAGGAATACGAAGAAAAGATCAATCTTGAACACTCTTTGGCTATGCTCGATGACTTTTCTTTTCCTTTCAGATTTTTTTCTTCTCCTCTTTCTCTCTAGTCTATACTCCAGTCTTCACTTCAATTCTGTCGTCTCCCTTGACACAACAGCACAACGAATAATAAATAAAGTCATCATGGATTCTCATTTCATTTAATAATTAATCAAGTTCGTGTGTTACTTACGTTTCTTTCCTTCTAAACAGTTCCAAGTCAGTCTATTACGTAGAAAAACCCGAAAGAAATAAGGTAGATGTTCTATACTTGACATTGCACGGCCTACAGAAGAAACAAGTACGTGTCAATAAAAATCAGAAGACTTGAGGAATAGAGAGAGAAAGACAGCTTTCTTTCTGTCAGTCGAGTCAGTTTGACTTCAATCTATGAAATACAGCAGAACAACAAGGGCTAAATATTTCTTTTCATTTCCTCTAAAGCCTATATTCGATTTTAATTAAAGATATTCATCCATTTTCTGTTGGTTCACTTTCGACTAATTGATGAAAGTGTTACTATTTCTGATATGTCCGTTTCTTTGTAGTCGATACATTTACAATGATTGATTCAGTTATATACGGTTTGATAGTTGTATTGGTAATTATCACTGCCGATCCAGGTCCACCAATTGATACCGGCCCCTATGCACCACAGCCGCCGCCTGCATATAATTACTACGAATATCGATCTCAGCAGCAACAACCAACGCCTTCACCCTATACTGCTAAACGAAATCAAAATAGCAACAATTATCCTGAGCAACCTGTTCAATCATCGTCAATCGCAGCAACGTATTCAAATACACAGAGAAAAACATCGGCAAATCAATGTAAACTGCATATCAATTGTCCAAGTAAGTCTTTCGTGAAAGTATAACAAGCAGATGTTTTCAAAGTCTGACTTTTAGACGCTCGAAACCGGGTGACACTCGATATTCAAGGTCCTGATGGTCAGTATAACTGAACCATATCGCTACTATTCGAAAAACTAAGTGCGCCCTTTTAATTTTTAGGACCACCCGGCCCACCTGGTAAACAAGGCATGCAAGGTCCGAGTGGTCCTCCGGGTCTTCCTGGACCACCAGGTAAGTGTTGAAATGAGATGAGAGACGAAATATACATCATTGTTCTTTCTTTCTTATTTGAGGTCGAGATGGTTATTCCAATTTAAAATCAGCATTTTTTGTCGCATTGAATAAAACTTACTCTCTACAAGAAACATCTGCTATCATCGTTTGGGACGATGTTATATTAAATAAAAACTATCATCTGAATAACAATACTGGTATCTATTATGCACCTATTAGTGGTTTGTATGAATTCAGTTTAACCGTTTGTGTACCAGCAAATCATATTGTATGTTATTCGAGGAAAAATAAATGCGGTTTTGCTTATGTACATTGTGCTTTGTATTTTCAGGCATCTGTGTCTTTGTGCAAAAATACAGAAAACATTGTACCATTGTGGGTTGAAGGATTTTTAACAGCCGTCAAGAATCAAAAGGTACCTATCTGGAATACAGCATCAACGACTGTTGTCTTGTATTTACATCGTGGCGATCGGATCTACATTCGTGCCCAATCACGTGAAGATGGAGATTATCATTTTAAAACGTCATTGTACGGCTGGAGATACTCAACATTTGGTGGATTTTTAATACATGAAGACAATTGAATAGATTGTTTCTCTACTATCGTCTATGTGTGATATAGTTTCTGTACCCTTACTTGAACCTTGTTCTTCTTCTTCGTGTTCTTCGTAGTTGCATGGAAATAGACAAAGGCACTATTGAAAGAGAATGTGAAGTATCAAAACAAGATCACAAATTCTCCTTAAATAATGCTTTCGTTCGAATGAAGTTTACTACTGTTGAAATAAATCTGGATGTGCTTGTATTTATACTATTGTATATATATCTCTCTCTCATTCTCTGGTCGAATAAGAAATCACCGTACATTAAACGCATTCAAGCATGGATTGACGGTGACGCGAGAGAGTGAGAGAGAGAGAAAAAGAAAAAAAGATAATAATGACTAGCTTGATCAATACGTATAGTCATCAGTCATCGCACGCACATCTATCCATTCATTTAACGCCCACATTCATTGCTCGAAGGTATGTTGAAAACAAACAGACCGAACAGTTGATATTATCGTGTCACATATATTTTACCTATTAGATATCTTGTCAGCTATCTTCCTTTAGTTGAAATAGAATAAAATACCAATGAATCATATATAATTGACAAGATGATTTCTAATCGTATCTAGCGGACGAAGAGACAAGCTTAGACGATTATCGTTTTGATAGGTTCAAGTCATGCAAACATGTGAATATGTTTTATATTAAACATACTACTCAATCATTGTCGGATGTGTTTTTGACATTCATAATATAAAAATCTTCGTTTAATGAATTGAGTCTGTTTTGCTTTATCGATCGATGTGTGACATTTTCAATAATCGATTTTTGTCGGTATATGTTATCTAAATAAGTTTGAAGCGAAACAAACGTATTGAGCGAGCCTTAGATGTAAATGAACGGATCATTCAAAGAGAAGAAAATTAGATTGTTTTTCATGCATGGTAAATATGGTTTACGTAGAGAATTAGAGCAAGGAACTATCAGACGAGAGCATGTTCAACATGAGATACAGATGCAAATAAATAAACGCAAAGAATTCACTGGCGGGAAACTACCAAATCATATCGATGAACATCAGCATATTCATGTTCGTCCACTGATTATTGAAAGTGTTGTCCGAGCTATAAAATAATATTGTTCGAAAGATTAGAAGAGAGATATACATGTAGAACTAATACACCCGATGAATTTTCTCAGTCAGCTGATCGAGAACATGAATATCGTCTTTTATCGAGTAGACAGTTGAAAGTTTTATTTGAAAAATATAATGTTCAGCTCTGTAGTCATGCTTGTATGTGTTAAAGAAAGTCTCGTTGTTTTCTCTTCGGTTTCGACTAACAGAGGCACGTTAGTCGATGATGAGGTAAGCGTGGATGCCAATCCATATGAATCGAATAATCGCCACGATACGGTTGACGAGCAAGTGGCCACGGACAATTTGTATGACTATGAGTTCGACGTTGAAAGTGAACAGTTGGCCGATTGGGAAAGCGTATATTACGTTTGAGAACAGGCTGATCTTCGGATACTTGAATATCCGTTTCTGGCTTTTCGAGAGCTCTGTTAACACCGCTGTATTCTGTAGTGAACAAAAGCGAAAAGAGAATATTTAAAGAGTTTTGAAAAACAATGAACCTTTCTCGTTTCGAATCGCTTGTCGATATCGATCCATCGATGGATAGAATTCTGATCGACTACCGTCTTCTCGACAAACTGTAGCTGCCTGAAATATAAAAGATAGAAAGAAAGAAATGTCAACGAATCCAGATTGAGCCTTACACCAATCGGTGGACATTCATATTCATTTTTCATGTCAATACGATAGTTTTTCACTGCTTGAATAACATTGGCTTTGGAATCGTCATTAGCAGCTTTGAGAAAGGCGCTGGCGCCCTGTCGTTCAACAGTTGATAAGTCCGACATTTGTTCGAGATAATCAGGAATTTGTGGCACTTGAGCAGATTGTTCTAGAAAAAGAATCGAATACGAGATGCTGTTTTCGCAGTCGATCCAGCAGAAAGTTCTACTCACGTGACGGAGGACGAGCAGGTGGTGCACCATACGCATTTGGGATTTCTCTCATTCCTGTTCGCATAAAAACTCTAAAAGATGCGAGAAATGTAAAAAGTTCATCAGAGAGTTAGTAGAGTAGGATACGTACAATTTTGGATGTGGGTTGTGACGTCTTCCGGCTGATGTTGGTCGTGATAGGGTTCGTTGAGTTTGCTGGGGATCGACAAAGTAGTGACCATGTGTTGTGAGCGCTGTATCAGGCTTGGACCAAATTGAGCGCGATTGAGCACGAATGGTTTCTAGTTCAAGGTCAAATTGTTTTCGTCGAGCCAATTGACAAAATGGATCGTTGCCATATTGTGACTGAGCTCGCTGCGCACTTTGACTGCGAACTACTCGTGTCATGTTTGAAAGATTCTGCTAATAGTTCTATCGTACAGCTTCGCATACCATTACACTGACAGTTGTCATAGAAACTATAAAATTCAATGCAAAAGCCTCTCTTTGATCGATAAAACTAATTTAAAGATCATTGTGTTTTTCAAATCAATGTTTATCATTCGTAAATAGATGATTAAAAAAAGGGAGGTGAAAGATACTAATCAATGGCAACCGATTAGATTTCTTCGTTGGACGAAAATGAGTACATTAATGCAAAAGCAGACAAGAAGAGGAAGCGGCGCGCTGAGCACGTCTAGTGAAGCTTTTGCACTTTCAATGTCAAATACATGGAAAACGTCGAAAGAAAAACTACCAAGCCTTTGTCAATGTCGTTGCTAGCCAATAATAATTTGTTTCATTTATATCGTTTTTGTTTTACGAAAATTTAGTTCAACTTCAGCACGCTATACTATACTCTTTACGGTTACTTATACCATAGCCTTCAGCTATACTCTAATCCTGAACACTCTCACCCCATCCTTATTGTAAACTTCTCGATGGTGAAAGAGATATAGTGGAATGCAAGAGCGAATAGTATAGCACGTATACATTTTATATCTCAGTTCTCATATGAGGACTAAACGATTAGGTCTTAATGCACTCTATTGGGTGCATCTAGTCTAATATACAATAAGCCTTTCGTCTTGTATTGAGAAGGCTAAGTAGAAAGGCTCGCTGATGGTACGTAATTATATTTGTTTTTGGTTCATTTCTGTATAGAGTAGTATTGATTCACCACGTATGAATTCCATGGTGCGTTTGAAAGTAGCAACGTGTTATAACGTGACTAGAATGGCATACTAAAGAGGGAATAGTTAAACAATTTCCATCAAATCGTTCTATTGGGTATATCACTTCCCACCATTAGCGTACTCTGAAAAGAAGTTCTTTTACCGATTGCGATCAGTTCTATTCACTCTGGGGGTTGATCTATAGGAAAATGCCAAAGAACTACTTTTTGCAGAGTCGTATTGTGCGAAAAGCATTGTAATGTACTCTCAAGCCTTTTGTATACTGTTTCCATAAAAAAAAATTTTGTTTATCAGCTAGGAAGTTTGAAGTCGTATAAAAATGCGGAGATCGATTCCTTCTACAAATTTGCTCAATTGTCTTGCTCTGAGACCTATCTTTCGAGTGATGACAAAACTGAAATCAATCAATTGCGTATAGTACAAGATCGTATCTTTGCGTGAAGATACTATACATGTATAGTGTTTCTTTCACAGTATACTATTATAAAGAATAAGTCTCTTCCAAAGTGACACAGCTGATCTTGAACTGGACAGCTCGCATAAATTGTGGACATTTACCGGTACATTTGTGAAACAATAAGCAGGATGACTCTGCAATAAAGAAGAAACTTACTTTTTGTTTAATTGTAAGTGATATGTCAGTTTTCTCAGTTAGTTCACCGGCGAACTATTCTTCTGATGTGGGTCAGAGAGAAAAATAATATCCGCCTATTTCAGTCAATATTTTTGAGAAGAAATGGCTTACTATATTACTATTATGACTCATTGCTCGGTAGAAATTTGCACTAGAAAAAATTCGACCTATTGCCATCGGGGCGCTTAATTAATTAATAGTTCCATGAAAGTCTCACAGTGATCCAGCTAAATCCTAGCGTTTTGCAATTCTACCGTACGTATTCAGTGCCACATTCGCATGAATGAGTTTTATATAGCTTCCTTTAAAAAAAACAGAACTCTCGATAAATTCATATTCGAAGACAGAAGAAAATAGATTTGTACCTTAGCGACTTGATTATAAATATTTTTTATGTCACTGTCAAACAAAATTAAATATTTGATCATTAATGCGGACGATTTCGGATATTGTTCAAATCGCGATACAGCTATAATCGATCTGTTCAAACAACAGTCAATATCTTCAACAAGTCTTCTTATCAATGGTTCTAGCGCATACCAAGCATCTGTGGCCGCACAATTATGCAATCTTCCAGTAGGTATCCATCTTAATCTAACTGAAGGTCGACCAGTGACAGACGATCTATTCAAAATTCGATCGTTAGTCAATAGCCAAGGTCTCATGCATGGTAAATATGGATTACGTAGAGAATTAGAGCAAGGAACTATCAGACGAGAGCATGTTCAACATGAGATACACATGCAGATAAACAAATACAAAGAATTCACCGGTGGGAAGCTCCCAAGTCATATTGATGGTCATCAGCATATTCATGTTCACCCGCTGATTGTTGAAAGTGTTGTCCGAGTTGCTAAAGAATATCATATCGATTATATTCGTGTGCCCAATGATCAGACGATTGATTCGTTGGAAATGGACCAACAGCCATTCTATCGAGAGATTGTTCAGGAAGCACGAATGGCGATGAACATATTTGATCGACATTCGTTGATCTATCCGAAGTATTTTCTCGGTATCACGCTAATGGGCAAAGAGTTCACGTTGAAGAATATCGAAAGATGTTTACAAATGTTGGAGAAAAGTCAGACGGAAAACATCTATGTAGAACTGATGTGTCATCCAGGTCATCAATGCGATCGATTTATTGGTGGCTGCGGAACTAATACACCCGATGAATTTTCTCAGTCAGCTGATCGAGAACATGAATATCGTCTTTTATCGAGTAGACAGTTGAAAGTTTTATTTGAAAAATATAATGTTCAGCTCTGTAGTCATGCTTGTATGTGTTAAAGAAAGTCTCGTTGTTTTCTCTTCGGTTTCGACTAACAGAGGCATGTTAGTCGATGGTGAGGTAAGCGTACATTCCGTTTGAGAACAGGCTGATCTTCGGATACTTGAATATCCGTTTCTGGCTTTTCGAGAGCTCTGTTAACACCGCTGTATTCTGTAGTGAATAAAAGCGCTGGCGCCCTGCCGTTCAACAGTTGATAAGTCCGACATTTGTTCGAGATAATCAGGAACTTGTGGCACTTGAGCAGATTGTTCTAGAGAAAGAATCGAATACGAGATGCTGTTTTCGCAGTCGATCCAGCAGAAAGTTCTACTCACGTGACGGAGGACGAGCAGGTGGTGCACCATACGCATTTGGGATTTCTCTCATTCCTGTTCGCATAAAAACGCTACAAGGTACAACAAAGGCAAGTATGCACAATTTTCGATGTGGATCGAAAAGTAATGACCATGTGTTCTGAGGGCAGTATCAGGCTTAGACTAAATTGAACGCGATTGAGCACGAATGGTTTCTAATTCGAGGTAAAATTGTTTTCATCGAGTCAATTGGCAAAATGGATCGTTGTCATATTGTGACTGACCTCGCTGATCACTTTGAATGCGAACTACTCGTTTCATCTTCGAGGATTCTGCTGATAGTTCCATCGTACAGCTTCGCATACCATTACATTGTCAGTTGTCATAGAAACTATCAAATTCAGTGAAAAGACCGCTTTTTGATGGATAAAATTAATTTAAAACTCGTTGTTTTTTCAAATCAATGTTTATTATTCGTAAATAAACGGTTAAGAAAAAGGGAGGAAAGAGGAATCGATTAATGGCAAAGGATCAGATTTCTTCAGCCAATGAGAATAAATATAGCATGCAAGAAAAATGAGTAGACGAACGCAAAGGCAAAGACAAGAACAGGAAGCGGCGCGCTGAACATGGCTAGTGAAGCCTTTGCGCTTCCAATGTCAAATACATACTGATTGCAGATCTCGGAAGATAAAACTAGTGTGTCGACTTGCTTGTTGTCATTTCCATACATTTTCTAGATCACATGGTGTCCTAAATCAAGACACGGATACTAGTTGAACAACAATATAGGATATCAATACTGGCGTCGACCACAATCGCCCTACTGGTTCAACGGGGCTGCGGTATAACAGCAAATGCATTTCTATTGTCTAATCAATTTGTTTGTTGATTTCATTCTAGGCTCCTACGAAAGACGGTCGTCTACTGTAATTAATTAGGCAAAAAATACGTACATAGACAAATATCGATGGATATAACACCTGATCTAAGTCATCTAACCGAAGATGAACGAAAAATCATCGAGGCGGTTATTAACCGACAGAAGGCTGAAGAAAAACAAGATGCTTTGGCATTACAGTAAAATATATTAAATTGTTTCATGGTTTTTTTTTCTTAAAATCAATTTATTCTAGGTCTCGTATGGATGATTATTCAGCACCTGTGGCTATGGCTGGTCGTCGAAATTCACAACAAGCAAAAACATATCCTCATGGAAGTTTATCGAATGAATCAGGTGTTTGTTGTGAAGTATGTCAAAAAACGAAATTCGTCGGTGAACAATCAGCAAGACAATGTTCAATATGTAAAAAACGTTTTTGTGTCCGATGTGGTGTACGACTAAAAGGAAATCAGTACAATAAGGTTTGCTTAAACTGTCCATTACCTCTGAGAACGTTTTCACTTGTACTTTGCATTTCATTTAGACATTTTGGCTTTGTAATATATGTCGTCAGAAACAAGAACGTTATTTTTCTTCACGAAAATTGATTCCGACAACAAGTTCAGTTTCGCAATTGACCACAAATGCAATCAATACGAATAATATCGATGATGAAAATACGAAAAATATCTCGAAACAATATGTCTCAGATTATATTCTATCTCAACCATTCGATAGCAATGAAAAGGAAGATGAAGAAATGAACATGAACATGAACAGAAATGGTGCTACTACAAAAATCAATCCAACTGTTGCGCAACCACGGAAACGGTTACTTCCAACAGCACATATTCGACGTCAACAACAACAACAACAACAGCAACAGCAACAACAGAAAGAGTCGAAAGACGAGTCGAGCTCCGAACATGAAGACGATGCTGCGTCTTCTCCGGAGTCAACTTCGAATGTGGATGATAATGAATCTGTGCCACGTGGTAGGATTTTCATGAGAATCTTTTTCTTGCGCTACATCTAGAAGAAGAAGATAATAATGATAACAAATACTTTGAGCATCGTCTTTCGGTCAACAAAAGCCTGGTATATTCTAGGTCATATGTTATCCAATGATGCTTGGCAAAAAGATGAAATTCTCGCCGCAAAATTGAAAAAATTTCTCACTACGGTGCATTTCATATAGATAAATTTATGTGATCATTCTTTTTTCGTTCTCAATGCATGCACACACATACACACCCAAATCTCTCTCCTCATGTTATCGTTTGCTTCATCTTCTTCTTCGACTTGTAGTTATTCCCATCGTTTGAATGTTTTTCGTGTCTATCCTTATTTGTCTAGTGAACAAAGTTGATGAAGATGTTCTTACATCATTACCATTGTCACGATCAACCCATCATCCACAAATCCGTTTGAAAGAATTCCAATACCATTCACTCGAAGAGAAAGATATCGGACATGAAACAACATTGAAAGATTCAGGAATTGATACCGCGAGTTCGAGTACAATACTGAATGTTTTATCAACGGATCCGTATCGTCAGGTCTTTACAATTTATTCTGATTATGGAGATCGTTGTAGCAATTATTGTTGTGCTTCGTGTCGTTTCTGTCTTGTGAATTATCGTTGTCTTCGATTGACGTTCATTATCAAAAGACAAACTATTCAATTATTTTTAGCCAACAACAACTTGGCGTTTCAATGAAAGTAGAACGGAACAAATCGGTTATGTTCATCTGAAAAACAACACATGGTCACCAGCGATTCGTGAAGACTATGAGCAAGGGAATATGGCGATAGAAGACATATTCACTGCATTAGGTACATTTCTTTCATCTATTTCAACATATGAATATAGTTGTTCATTCTCATGTAGGCCTAAAAGTTCAAGGAGGTGTTCGTCAGGAGAATGATGATGGAACTGAAACAATGGTTGCCGAAATCATTCGAGTAACACCAGGTAGTGTTGCCGACAATAGTGGTCAATTACAAGCTGGTAAGTTTTTGAACCAGTAGAAAAAGAACAACAACAAAAGACAAAGTTCTATTTGTCGTCATTCTCTCGGTTCTCTATTTTCTTCTCTTTAGGCGATCAAATTCTTGAATGGAACGGACAAAAACTAACAAATTTAAATTATAATGATGTTTATCGTATTATTTCTCAACATTCGATGCAATCACCAGATATACATATGATTGTTAAACGGTCGATCAGGTAAAAATAAGCAACAAGCAGTGATTTTCTTTGTGCGCTTCTTCGTCTTTTCTTAGTGTATTTGTGCCATGAAAACGACAGCCTTTCTAATTTATCATATTCTCATGAGATCTCTCAATCCCCGAGGAATTCGAATTTTTTTTTGTGAAAATTATTATGATTATGTTTTTCTCTTGTTTCATAGATATTCAACATTGTCAAATAACGAACAATCATTACTAAATCCTCCTATTTCAAGCATATCTTCCCAAGGTAAAGATTAGATTTTATGTTAATTATTTTGATAATTAGTGGTAAGCATTTCACCGAGCCTACTTAATTGTGCGTCACTATTGCCGCTACTATCGTCTTTGCTTCCTTCCTTCATCACTATATACAAAAGAGAATAAGCAAAAAAAATCATAATGAACTGTACGGAGAAAAACGAAGCAGGAGGAGAACACGAAGAACGACGACACACAGCAGCTTGGACAAATACTCGTTCTTTGTAAATGCCTTATACTTCATTCTTTTCTCATCTTTCGCTTCCTCTTGCCGTCGGAATACTAAATCTTTTTTTTCCTCTTCTTCTTCTTCTCTTCGTTTCTTTTTAACGGCAGTGTACGACTCTCAGCAGAGTTCGTAAAAGAGAAGTAGAGACAGGGAGAAAGGAGGAAGAAAATAGTCACCAATACTATACTTCTATTGCACGCCGCCCTTTTCTGCCGAAGTTCATTACGACAAACGTTGAGCTCAATGACATTGACAGAACAGCCATCAACACGAATGGTTGTATTTCATAATGTCGTGTTCAAAAACGACAATGGGTGTGAGAACGATAATGGGATGATTTCCGTTGGATTACCAATCAAGCAGCAGCAACAACAACAACCGGCACAACGTGTCGAACGACCAAGTGTTCTTGTGCGCCTTTCTAAACGTCTCTCGAATTTATCTCATTCAACAGCTCCAACTGAAACTTTTCCACCTCTACCATTATCTCAGCCAATAACAGTAGTCTCCTCACCACCCTCATCGTCATTCGAACGACAAAACTCTTCGGAATCTGATTTGAGTCTCTCGAAATTAGATATAACTGATGACTATTCTGGCTTAGGCGGAAATGAATCATTAAATACATCTCAGCAAGCAAGTGAATTAGACATAACTGGAAGAAAAACATCTCTTTCAACGACTAGTCAAAGGCTGACTGAATCGTTTCGAAATATCTATTCACGTTTTTCACAAAAACGTTCAATTACGAAAGCAAACACATCCACGTCATCATTTGGTAGTAACACACGTCTAGCAGGCCAGATCTCTAATTCCAATCAAACATCAATATTTGACCATCGTTTCTTCTCTTGTTGTTCACAATGTTTTTCGACAAGAACTCATTCTTCCTCGTCTACTGTGACGACATCTCCGCGTCGTTCTTTTTTATTTTGATAAAACAAATATATGTGAACATGTATTTTTTTTTCTTAGAAGATATATATATATATATATATATTTATACCCAACTATGTATCTTTTATTTAGAACACGAGACAACAACAAGGAAGAATGAAAACAATATTCGATTACAAGTATACATCAGATTTTTCTCAGATGAATAGAGCGAAGACAACCAATCAATCAAATGAAATCTTTTGTATTTTAGCTTTCCTTTCAATATCACACTCATCGACGAGAATTTCATGTTACAGTACACGGTGCTAGAGATCTTCATCTTCAACAAGGATCATTTGCTTGTCAATTATCTATACAATATGGTCGAGATTCCTTGTAGGTTTTTGTGAATGAGACTTCTAGCTTGCAATCGAAGTTGACAGGAATTTATTGAATGACAGTTGGTAGTTCTGATTACTATGCAAAAATTTGACAATTTATGCAAGACGAAATCCATACTATCCCCGTAGACGATTGAGAGATTTCCTGGATTCCATAGTAACACATGAATTGTTCGTTTGCTTTTTTATTACTTCGCTACTTCACCTTCAGTGCGGTTATTAATAATGAATATTTGAAAATCAAAAATCTTTCCTCTACATCATCAACGTATCAATTTCCATCTACTCGAGCAATATTGAGAAATGTGAAGTAGTGATTTTCTTAAGAATAAGCTTGACGATGTTATAAACAAAATACTTGACATTGCAAACTAGATTAACATTGCCGTTCTTGTTTTATAACATTGATAAAAGTTGATTAGTGTATCTCATGATGACTTTATGTAATCGAGTGACTATTGCAAAAGGAAAAGAAAGTTCCTTGGAATAAAACAAAAGAACTGAGCGAGTTCGTTGTTATGCAGAGAAGTGAATTTGAGAAAGAATTCTCCGTAGACCATTGTGAGAAATATTCATCATGTAAATAATACTTTTTACTTTCGATTTTCTTGATAATGTTCTATGGAGAATTGACTATGTTAATCAATTCGATTCGAGTCGATAAAATCCGTTCGAAAAATCTTGTTCTCTACATCGAATATCAATTCCTTCGTTTTCGATAAAGTCACATTTTCCATCGTGTGTTTAGATCAAAGGAACAAAAATGTACGAAGCCACAAGCGTGTTCGTCTGGTGCATGTACATGGAATCAACGTATTATCTTTTTCGACATCAACACACTAGATAATCTTTCCCTATGGATCAAATTAGTCGATCTTGACCGTAATCAAGAAGTTCTTGGCGAAGTAAAATCTATTTTCGGAAAGAAAAAATCAAGGATTTCCTTTCATAGATTTGTATTACATTGACTGACGCAAATTTAAATTTCAATGGAATTCCAGAATGGTACACTTTAACACCAAAATATACTCGAACACGACGTCTGTCAGGCAAGCGTTTTACTCAAAGTGATAGCGATGCATCTGAACTCGAACAACATGGTAAAACTTTTGTCAACATAGTCAGCTCATTTCAAATCTTCCATTAGGATCATCATTCAATCGCGTTCTTCCAACTTTCAATACGAATAATGAAGTAATACCATCAATGATTGACACGTAAAGAATCTCAAACTAATCAATCACTTTCTTCATCTGAAATCCTGATTTCCCTTCTAGAACTCAAGCAAGCGGTCGTAAGAGACAATTGCCAAATATTCCTGCAGCTCAATTACATGCCAATCGAGAAAAAGGTTTGTAAAAAGTAAACTGAAGTTCTTGTTTGTCTTCAATGACATATTTCAGTTTCGCAAGATTTAATTCAAAAAGCCACACAGTTAAAATTACGTCTTCATATACAACAACAACGGTCACTGAATGAAACGAATCTAAATGAAAAACGGCAAATGTATGAAGATCGAATACAAATATTTAATAACGAAGCCCACCAACTACCTCCGACGGCAACACAGCGTTCATCATTCCAAACTAGCAAATCCATTGATACTGATTCTCCACATCTGCATCAAACACCATTAATAACGAAACCATACGAATCCATGACAAATCTGGCGCAGAAAACGCCATCAAGTACAGCAATCGAAAGTTCCGGTTTGAAAGAAAAAACCACTTCACGGCCTCGAATACCGATTATCCGAGATAAAAGCGTGCCAAACACGCCGTATCTCAATCCAGCATTAACCAGGCGTACAACATCGGCTGGACAAAATCGAGTTGATTTAGAGAAATCCAAATTAAAATCCTTTGAAGAAAAATACCGAAGAAATCCGAGAAGGAGAGGTACGAAGAAATCTATTGCTGCAAGCCTATCTTCATCAGTTCATTTTGTAGAACCTTCAGAAACGCCCGGTGATGATGTAGATTCCGATGGATCGGAACTCTCCACTGTTTCCAAGATTAGTTCAGTTAGTATGCTATCAACACAATCAGAACGACCTCGAAATGTTCGAAAAACAGGGTATGATCCAAATCACCTTTTGTTTCGCTCTGTAAATCAAACAATCTTTACCTTTCGTCTCTAGAGCTCACACTCGCTTACACGAACATCATCATTTCCATCGCGATGATGAAGTTCAACTAAACGAAGAAGAGCTTCGACAGATTGCTATGAGTACACATGATACAGTGAGGCAGCCACCACCACCAGCAACCACAGCAGCAGCCGCCGCCGCAGCAAAGCCCGACGTGACAGCATCATCGACGCTTTTCAGTGATAATAAACTAATTAATTCAGCTGCAATGTCGAAGACAGATCCGCGTAATGATGGAACATTATCTGATTCTGTTCTGAGTTCACAGCCTGGTGAATCGAATAAAAAGCGTCGCCCATCGATGTCATCGAAAGCACTTGTCATACTTGGCTTGTCAAAGAAGACAAACAGCACATCTAATCTTGGCTATGGTAGATATCTCGCTGATCAGTTACCGGCAAGATTATATGATTTATGATGTTCTCTTTTCTAGGAAAACGTTTCGGTTTTCAACGTAGTGAAGAGATCGGTGTTCAACCTCATTTACGTAGTCGAACGTTACAAAAGCAAACAAGTAAAGAAAATGAAACGCCAACGAGTGCACCGGCAACAGATGTTTCTCAATCGCCATTGGCACTGTCTCATCAACGTGATCAATATCATTCCATGCCACATGATATGAAGTAAGTATTTTCACTTTAGAAGCAAACCGAACGACAATCGTTTGAAGTTGAACTTAATTGATTGAATTCCCTTTCGGAATACAATACAATTTATCAAAGATCTTTCCGATTCCGACTCGGTTAATCAAATTTCTCTTCGAGTAGACTAAACTTCTTCCCATTCTGTACACTGTGCAAGAGATTCTTTTTCGTTTCAAGTAGAGTAATCCTATTACAAATATAGAAAGAAAAAAAAAACTTTTGTTTTGTCCTTTTATTTATAAACAACCATCAGTTTACGTGATTTTTATCTAATGTTAACTGTCAGAATTACTTTCTGTCGTAACTAAAAGCAATCGATGTTTCATAGACCATACCGAACCGCTTCAGGCATTGTGCAATAATGTACATGAAATGTCTCAGTTCCAAATGCTCAATTCGCGTAAACTAAAAGCATTTTCTCTAATTCATAGATTATGGTCCGGTGCACTTAGATTACCACACGAACATCAATTCGCTGACTTTATCGAAGGTCTTGGTGCTGGTCAATTAGTTGGTCGACAAGTTCTCGCTTCTCCTTGTCATGGTGAAATCCAAGTTGGTCTTCGTGATCAACATGGTTTACTCGAAGTGGAAATTGTTCGAGCGAGAAATTTACTTCAGAAAGCTCTATACAAAATGCCACCCGGTATGGTTGATTCTTTGTATGCATATTTATTTATGAATTTACGTTTCTTTTATTCAAGCTCCATATGTAAAAGTGTATTTACTCGATGGGAAAACTTGTGTAGAAAAACAACGTACACGAACGACACGTCGAACATTAGATCCATTGATACAGCAAACATTGATCTTCAAAGAAAATTATCGGGATAAAGTCCTACAGGTAAACTTTCTGAATTCAACTTCTAAGAATCTATTCTTCGTTTCTAGATTGGTGTTTGGGGTGATTATGGAAAGCTAGATCGCAAAGTCTTCATGGGTGTTTGTCAAATCAATGTTGAAGATCTCCGTTTAAGTAGTACTGCAGCTCAAGTCTTAGATTGGTACAAACTATTTTCTGCTAATTCTCTGATGAATAACTACACGATTGTCCAACAATCACCGAAACGAAGAACTTCAACAGGAACAAATGATTCAATTAGTTCGTACAAAACTAATTCCAAGTATGATATCCGCATCGCTTATTTCCTTTTCGAATATGAATCTAATTAAACTATTTATTTAGATTTTGACTTCTTTCTTTTTCTTTCTTGGTCCCAATTGGCTTGCCGAGATTACATTCTCTGTGTGTATTTATGTATGTGTGTGTTTTCTTTCTCTCTCTCTCTCTCATTTCTCGATATGAGTGGTATGTATGCATGTAAGAAAAATATTTTTAGTTACAATTTATTTATGGATTATGCTTGTTTTCTTTCCCTTTTCTTCTTGATTTCTTTCTTTTGTACTCTCGCTGGTTCTTTTTTGACCAGATGAGAAAATAAATGTGTACTTAATAATTTTCCAATTTGATTTATATCGAATTCAACATGAACCATACCAAAGGTAGAATTCGCCAGTGCAAAAAGAAAGGACATTACCAAACAGCAGTTGGACTACGGCAAGACATCCAGATTTTATCGGTACGATCCAAAGGAAACACTTCAACAGAATAGTATGCTTTTCCCATCGAACTGCAATTTTGAGTAGGGTAAATAGAGTTAATCATTTGTCATCAGTGTAGAAATAATCATAATAATCAGAGCGGATATTTCTAGCAACTATCTCAAGATAAATAGATTTCTGTTTCGTCAAAATCAATATTTATTTGCTGAGAGATTGATTCTACGATCGAGTACAACTTCGATGTCTTTTCGGATAATGTCCAATGGAAGGAAAACTCATTGACGATCGAATGTCCGTTGTCACCTGAACAAACAAAATGGTAAAAGGCCGGATATTTCATATTAATTGATATTCAATCGCCTCCCATCTATAATGTAACTGGAAAGAGAGAAAGGAAACAGAAATCCAATTATCATTCATCATTTTATTCAGCCAGAAATCTATCTCTCTCATTGGAAGTAAACTGACATGAAATATGATTTTTCATTCCTATTGTTATCTCACACGTTTTCATCCGTAGACATTCACAGTTCTCTTCGGGTTTTTTTTTAATAATGCATTTGTTTCCTCATAACATTTCTATTCTCTTTATCGGTTAAGTCGATGTTGAATGACGTTAATCCTCGAAACTTAACAACCTTGAGCTTATGTTCTTTGCGATTCTTTCTCTTGACGCTTCCGCCCTCTCATAATCAACACATATCTTGGCCAGGCGACTTCGTCAACAAGCTCTATTTTAAGAGTAGATAGTAACATTATTGTCCTTTGAGACTTTTTTTTATAATAGATAGATCGACAAGCGGGAAAAGATAATAGGGCAAGAAAGCAAAAAGACTATCATTACTCTTCGAATCACATAAGTCACACATACTTTCGTTGTTCTCGCCAATTACCTGCTATGATCTGCCACAAACGAACGAACGAGCGTGTATACAAACATTCATGCATGTAAATAAATAGTTATCGGAATATAATTAGACACAAAAGAGAGAAAGAGACAATATAAAAGAAAGTTATTCCATCTGGTCTAGTGCATATATCGAAACAAATGAATTCATTGACATTGAATAACTTATATATCCACGATGATGACATTGATAGATGAGCAGGTGTCAATATGGAATCCTTTTAAGTATGTCTATTCAATTAGATGCATTAGTTCCTTACGATTGGTTGAAGTCAGGGAATCAAGTTCAGTATGTCGATGAATTTCTTTTTGAGGACAATCATGTTGGACAGATGATTATACGCACTTCGTCTGGCTGAATGTGTTATGCCTACGCACTAATTTTTCCCTTCCGTTTCTTCACCCTTATTCGCATCTGGGACAACGGATGAAATAGGATAAAAACCCGAAAAAAAAGAAAGGAAAGACGATGTAGCAACATACGAGAGAAACTAAGAACACTAGACACCCTTTTCTCAATGCATCCAGCGAGAAGGCAAACATAAAAAAATGGTAATTCGTCAATCAATATCCCAGAGATATTGATCTATCCTATCGACATCAAACAAGAGAAAGATAAAAGCTAATGAATCTCAATTCTCGCGAAAATCCGCCTCTTTCGGGCATATCATAATACTTGTATGTAATAGTGTTACTGAGTTTATGTCATTCGAGCTCTTCAGTCGATTTTTACTCATTTTTTATTTTCTTCGCTGTCTCTTGGCCTTCGTGTTCCCTTTTGTCTTTTATGTTCATGGAGATGATCGATGTCGATATAGTGTGATCGTATTCTTTAGTATATAACATCGAATCATATTTGATCGAATATAAATTAAACATGAGTTTCTAGCTTTTCCATCGGTTGTTGTTCGGTAGGAGGTAAAGAGACAAGCTAGAAGCAATTATAATATTTCTTTTTTTCTCTCTCTCTCTCTCCCTCTTTTTCCTCTGTTATTCTTGCCTCCGATCGTTCGATCTACTGTCGTTCTTTTAAGTAAACGGATCGATCTCCTGTGGCCAACATTCATCACATTGGTAATAGTAGCAGTAATAATATAACTAGCAAGTCAACTACTCTTACCTCTCGATGCTTTCTAGTCATAAAATCGAACATGTTCATATATAAAATGATAATTATATCATCGACAACTAGTATTATGACCATGTCAACAAATGCTACTCTCATATCAACGAAACCTGCCGAGCATGGCTATGACTCGTCATACTTTGCAAGTATGTTCAAACGTCTGCTGATTCTCTTCGGTTCGATCTGTTTCCTTTGGTTAATCATGGGACTTGTCTTCGCCTCGATTCAAACTTTTCGTCGGTTGAAGAAGAAAACTTCGCAGAAACTCTTTCGTTATAATCGATCGTTACCACCGTCATCGCTATTAGCACCGATGGAAAGAACTTTGAGAGATGGTTTAAGAGCTGATATTGATGACGACGATGATGACGACGATGACCAAGCAAGCGTTTTTACTTCCGTATCATTCCTATCCGAACGTTCGCGACCTGTACACGAACATCGACATTTCGCTGCGCCATGTGAACGAATACCTGAAGAAGAATTCGAACTAACCCTACCAGTAGTAGCTGGCATATCGAATCTTGCATTTAGTCGATCAACGTTAGCCTCTTCAGCGAGCGGTGGTCTCTCTCTACTCTACTATCCCGCTTGTCGAAATTTTGCCTATTCACAGTCAACACTTGCATCATCCACAGCTGATTTAAACACTCCAACACCATCGATAATTGTGCCAACTAATGAACCATCTGTTGGGAAAACACGAACAAATCGCTTAGCTAATTTTAAACGACAATCATCTCAATCATCAACAACTACTACAGTTAGTCAGATTACTAATGCCACCTATCTCTCATCGAGTAGTGCCTCGACGTCATCGAGTATTCCGCTTGTATCATTGAAAACAACTCCATTGCCTACGGTAATGATTACGGATTGTGATCGTTTACAAACCGATATTATTGAACTTGATGATTTCGAACCGGAAAAAGATTGGCGTCGCGCACAACATGAATTAAGATTACTACTCAACGATAAAATGCCACAAGCGGTGAGGTAATGTTTATATCTATACATCTACCTATATATAAAAAGAGAGAAATATATTCAAACTCATTTAGATTTTATATATATATATTGTTGTTGTTGTTTTATTATAATTTCTTCTTTTTTTTTCGTCTTTATATGTTATAAAAAAATGAAATTACTACAAGACACAAATGAATAGATAATTAAATCAAATATTGTATGAAAACGTCGTTTGATAGATGCCATAAACGATGAGTTCAATTGTTTTTCATCGATTTCATCGCTGATCTGTCGGAGACATTGAACTAGCTGACGAATGATCAATTCTTGTGTTTGCACCTCCATCGAAGACACACCTGCCGAAAATGATAGTTGAATTCTATCACAGGAGAAGAAAGCAAAAGAAAGATTATGCTAAGTTCGATCGAGGTGATAAATACACACATTGAACGGAAGTCTATGATCATATTTGTTGAATATTGATATGAACGCAAGAGAAACACATTGCATGATTCGTTTGTCATCGAGGATATCGTTCAAGTGAGCAAACAGATTAAACATCACACACGTGTAAGGCACGTTCCCTATCAAAGCCAAGATCAAAGATAAACTTGATAGGCGAAATAATCAGATTGAAATGTAATAGATTACTGTTAAAATCTCCAGGACAAATCGACATTGATCGAGATGAATGCATAGACTCGATTAAACAATTAGTTACGGTTTATTTCATAATAATATTATATACATATACAGTATGAGATGAAGAGTAAAGAAAATCCATTATTCATCTAGCAAAAAAAAAGTATAGACAGCAGGTTTGGTATTATCGATCTCGATACTGTGCAGATTAGTGACATTATATATTATGATGTTGAAGAAGGTCATTGTCAATCATGTTATAAAACGAACAAAATTTATATTGATTTTGACAATGTCGTTCACGAGGGAATGTCTGTAACTGGTAATTCTGTTTTCAGCTCGATCTTTATGCATAATATAGACGCGACGTAGTAATGAAAAAACTCTGAAATGATTGAATTTCCTCTAGGCCTTCCGATCTGGCTTATCGACGTTTCACTAGAAGATTACTCTAAACAGTACTACACATGTCAACAAAAACGACAATATCATCTCGGTCTGAAATAGAACTTATCTAAATTACACATTATATATCATGAAAAAGCCGTTGAACAGACTACTAATTATTTATTATAGCTGAAACTAATACTGAATGAAATTTCTCGAGGTTCGTCAAGTACTGATCGGTCGCAAGTCCATGATAGACGTTGTTTTGCACTTCCCATACTAGCTTACTTGTGTCATCTGACTAAAACGTGAATTTTATAGATGTAAGAACAAATGATAGATGATCCTTTCACACATCTAAAAGCTTTTTCAAATTACTGACAGTGTTCATTATAAAAGCAATGTGGAAGTGAAGCATCGTACAAGATAGAAGGAATCACTTGATTTTTGAGAATTCTCATGTTCCTTTCTGCTATATACAGCGTCGTGTGAGATCAAGTTGTATTTAAGGTTATTACCATCAGCAACGAAGATATCCACTGTCTTGTTGGCTTTGTGGAAACTTTCGATTACTTATTGTGATCATGTATTTTAGGATACTGCTCTTTGTTTTCTATCTGTGTTCTTCGTGTTTCCTTTGAGAATCTAACGGGTCAGAAGGTAGATGAAAGCATATAAAATGAACTTTCAGTGCGACCTATTCAATATTTCTTGAGCTAAATTGATGCTCAAGACATGTGTAACAAATGCAATCAAACTGTCCACATCAATAAATCTTGATGCATCACAGACGGCGCTGAACGAGATTTCGAACTTGCATCCGAACAATACTCTATGAAGGTCGTATAATTCGTCCTGTAGCGAAGAAAATAAAGGAAATTGTGACATTAGCAGCACTTAGTGGTGATACAACATCACCTGCGAGTTCTAATTCAATTAAATGTATGATTCACACAGAATACTAATTCTTGAATTTCTCACATTTCGCCAAGTTGAAAAAACTAGCACTTTGAGGATGCATTTGTGAGCTTGCGCGATGATCTATGTTGAATGACAACAATTTGTGTGAAGTTTTAAGCGTTGTCGAAATGATATTCCAGAGTGTAATAATTCACATTTAAGTGTGTTCGGTATCTTCGGCAATACGATTGATTTCTCCTTCTTTCTATGTTATATATACTCCTGATCGGTTGTCTAGGTGACAATTTTTCTTTTTTCAATCGTGTGTATGAAAGTGTAAAAAAAAAGAGAGAAGAAAGAAAGAAACCCTCTGTCATATATCTGCTCGTTTTAAATACATCTGTGTCGTATTAGAAAGGCAGAAAAAAGAGAAATCAGACTGTCAAAGAAACGCTATAACGTTTGTTCATCATTAAAAATCACTTCTATTTTCTCTCTCTCTCCTTTTTCGTTACGACTCTTTGTCGTAAGACAAGAAATATACGAGCCTACATATTAAATCAACGCATCGTCGGCAGTGTGTTTGAATATTTATTATTCTCAATATTCTCTACTTTTTCTCCTTACAATTTGAATTCAAATAATGAAACCTTTTTTTTTCACCGATAAATCTCTAAACGAGCAATTATTTCATCATGTCTCTTTCTCTGTCTTTAGGTTTATCTATTCTTCTACGAAATGACCATGTATTCTTCACACATGCGCACGGATTTCCGCTGTGCGATATGTCAACGAAAGAATGTTTTTCACTGTGAGCACGACACACCACATCGTGACCGTTTCTTAGGTGCCGATATACCCGAAACATCTCGGAGTTTCAAAATGGACGATCATATTCATACGCATGAAAATAATACGAGACAACGAGTGGGTTCCCACACAAGTACTCGGCGCAACCAAGACTCAACTTATAATACGAATACTTATCAATCATCTCAAACATATCATACGAACCAAAAATCGAAAGCATGTGTTATTTTATGAAGCGTTATTTGTATGTAGTTTGATTTTTCGTGAAAAATGAAACATTTTTTATTTTTTATCACTAAACATACTCATCTTGTTTGTTGATTGTACTGGAATAAATTGTTATCAACAGAAGCTGGCGTATTTTTGATCAGTTCGACCTTCTTTTTTTCCGAGTTGCGACCTTGATTCTTCAAAATAGCTCAAAGCTGACAAAATCCGTGATTTTTTCCTGACTTATTCGATCAATAAACGTCATATTCCATCAACATGTTCTCCAGTATTTGCCTAGCTTAATACACTCAGGAAGTATTACACCTATAGCTTCTATTTCCTGTTAGGACAACTGCGGCCTTGCATTGTAGCTCCTGCCGACCTGTACAACACAATTCGAACCACTCGAAGATTAGTGACGCAGAATAATCTTCAAGTGTTACTTCGTATACAAATTGAGGTGTCATCATATGACACTATTAGTTTACCTACAATTTCATTGAGATTTCCTACTGCTAGAATAACGGCTTTTTTAATGAATAAAATCTAATCGATTAAAACGAACCTGATTCGAAAGAAGTCTACAAACACGTAAATCGTCTTTAGATCAGATTACTATATGTCAGTCTGCCGTTTAATCAATAATCTCTTCTTGACTGCCAACAGAACGCAAGACAAGCTGGTCACTTAGTCTGAAGTTGAACTTACATTGATTAGAAACGAACGAAGCCATTTATCAATGAAAAATACTTCATCAAATTGAGTTAAATCTATCAGTTAGGATACATCATATGATAAATTACTCATCTTATTTCAATTGATGAGACATTGTTATTTCGAAATCTTCATACATCATTGTCTATTATATCTCACGAATGAAATATGCTTTTTTCTCATATCATCTGAATAATTTCAACAGATACAAATGACAAAAGAGAGAAGAAGTTGGCTAATGATATGTATATGTGTACATATGTTCGATATTTAGTGTTATTTATCGAAGAGAATAATGATGATGATAGGCAACATGGATGAACAATTGTTGAGTTGTTCTAACACCGCTCAAAAGTGGCCGATAGGAAGAGAAAAGGAGATGGTCAGTCAACGTTGGAGTTCTTTCTCGTTCTCATCAAAATAATTAACTATGGCCGTAGACGACGACGACAACCTATTTTTATGCACATAAGTATATCGTGTGTTCGCGCTTCTCTTTGTCTTGCATTATTGGATATTGTTGTACAGCGAGGAGAAGGAGAATAACTAGAAGAAAAGAGAATAAAAGAAGAAGAAGAAGAAGAGACAAACATACATATACATATACATGAAAATGGGTGAGCGAACGTATTTATTCGATCATTGCACAAATAGAAGAGGAGAAAAGATTCTCTTTCTCTTCTCATTTGTCCAGAAATGAGTATGATGGAGAAGTTCAGAAGCCCCCATTGACTTTTTTACCTTGATCTTTCAAATCGTAATAGAGCATAGATAGATATTACTGGTGATTTACGTATATGTCTCTTATTGTTTTCTTTCTCTCCTACTCGACTCATCAGGGCTTCCTTCTACTGGACATTACTCAGTTTTCTTCCTTTCCATCAGTATCCCGGTGAGTATACCTAACAATAGCCGATGCCGACTTGATTATAAAAGAAAGTTTGTCGTTCGTCGTTATAGAATCAACTATACAATCTAATGAAAAGCAAAACTATTGAACAATTAGCAGAACACGATCGAAGAATTCCTTTCTTTCTTTCTTTCTTGAAGTCATATGCATCTTCTACACTCATTTGTTTTTTCATATTGTATTGTAGACCAACAATGTATGCATGGTATGTCCTATTGTTCATTATTCCATGTGTTCATTCAGTTCATTTTCATTCAAATGAAATTAATAACAAAAAAACTTCAATATTTGTTATTTATCCGCGTTTGCATTTGTGTAATAATGGTTCGTTTTCATTTGAATTTCGTACGAAAACAAGAAATGGCTTAATCTTTTACACCAATGATAATTACCATTCGGATTCCATTATTGTTTCGGTTTATCAAGGTAAATTACTAGTTGAACAGAAATTTGGCAATAACAAAGCTTATCAACAATTTGACCATCCGATTAATGATGATAAATGGTACAAGATCGTGTTTAAACGACGGTCTTCATTGATTAACGAAATCGTTCTCTATTCCGTTGCATTGCGAAATGTGGAAAATCGTATCATTAAATCGAAAAGCTTAAATCATTTGCCGTTTACATCATCGAACACGAGTTCAATGGTTTATATCGGAGGTTTACCGATGAATATTTACAAAAAACAACGTTATACAAGTGAATTTCTGTTCCAATCATTTCAAGGCTTTGTACGTAATCTGCGTTATGGCCTATGTGGATGCCCTGAACGTATTCAACAACCACTTTTTTCGTCATTAGCAAATAATTTTCAATCTGAAGTATGTGAACAACAGATCTCATTATGTTCAAGTTCAGCATGCGAATGTTTGAACGTCGATGAAGAACCACGATATCAATGTGATTGTAGCAATAAAACGTGCGGTATTATGACTATAATGAGTAAGTCATTATGTTGTAAAAGAAAACATATTAACAATGTCTATCTAATCTCGTACTGTGAACAGTAACCTTAAAGGCATAAGTTGTCATCGATCTTATCTCATACTCCTTCTCTCTCTCTGTCTTTTTTGTTCATATTGATGAATATTATGCATGATGGCTTGAGAAGTCAGGCGATAATCTTTTCAACATCTTCAATTCTCTTTGCGCAATCCATCTTGTTCCATGTTTCGACCGCTATATACATACACATAGTCAGAACAAAGCATGCAATCAACCGTATGGAAGGCTGCTATAGGCATATCCTAATGAAACACTGCTTGTTCAGTCAGTTGTATATGTTTACGTTATGTCTACGAGATTAAACAGCAAACGTATACATATCCACGCGTTGGTCATTCAACTGACTTTTTTTTGTTGTGCATTGTTATTGTTGTTGTCGACTAGACACTGGTAGATGTCTATCTTTTCTCTCCGAGAGAAAGAACATCGAGTGCGTCTTATCCTTCATAGTAATATCTGCTTGCTAATCATGATTATCACAAGTTATACCAATCTTTGATCCTTTCTAGTCGATGTTAATTGTTTTGATATGCCCTTCTACTCTGTATGTCACTCGGAGAGAACGACCAATTGAACGTACTCGCGTGTACTCCTACATCAAAACTAAGAAAAGATAATGAGAATGATCGCCTGCCAATGTGTGATGAAGCATACATCGATACACACCTACATTGCCAATTTTTTGTCCTTTTCTTTGCACACTCTATGATTAGAGTGTACACAATTTCTTCACAAGCGTCCGATCGAGACGTACAAAAAAAAAATAATGAACACTTTGTGTCTATGTATATGTATGTGTTTGTATACGTGTGTGAACATTGAACAGATTGACTCTCGAGTGTGTCGTCTTCCTTCGCTCAACCAGTAGTAGAGCAACGAAGTTAAACTGTTTTCACTCTCTCTCTTTCTCTTCATCTATCTTCAATCTAAAGGTGAACAAAGAAAGAAACACTAGTGCATTCTTTTGAAATCAAACGATGAAGTAAATTGTTTGATGGGTCATACTCTACTGTCAGTATATGATGGATATAGACAAGGAAGCTTTAGAATGATTGAAAGAAATCCTAAAATGAGTGCGCATACGTCTATGCTTGTTCAATTAATCATTTATATCGATGATATTAACCAAGGCAAGATGTGTTTTACGATTGACATGAGCAAACTTCTTGTCTATTCCTTAATGACCAACTTTGAATCTCTCGAACTTTTGTTGTAGCGTGCTAAGAGAAAAGAACTCTTTGATCATTTGTTGCATCAAACGAAATAATCCGGATATACTTATGCATTCGACAAGCCGGAACTAGAATATTGACATTTTATTGAATTAGGCAATGGTCACTTGGAAAAAAGTCGATTACGATACTTCTTGTCTACTTTGTAGTGTCGATGGAATTAGGAAGAGTAAAACTAGCATGTTGCAATCAGATAGAAATAAGAAGACAAAGAATGCTTGAGGGTACATATTCAATGATTAAGGAAATAGTCATCAGTTCTACAAATCCAATTAATTCTGCTTAAAATAAAGTTCAAAATGTTGATTTTCGTATTTCTTTAGACAAAAATCTCATTCAATACGAAATCGATTTCACATCCGTGGAATATATTTCCAAGAATGACGCATCTACATTCATGTTTGGAAGTCAACCATACATATTTAACGTCATGAAAAAAGGTTTCCTATGAAATTTTTATATGAAGTCAACTGATCTCATCCGAAATGAATTATTTAGATGTGGAAACCAATGAAAAGCAGAACGGCCACGTCACGTTTGTACCAATGGATATTCAACAACAAACTTGTATGTGGGACTTGAGCAGATGTTCAATAGGTAATCAACGATCGACCTAATCTCATTTGTTGTTTCTACTGTATGATTACTAGATCTATCTTTGATATTTATTTTTTCCATCAATCATATGAACAAGTCTTCGACTATTTTCAAGCAAAATTTTAAGAATGATGCACTAATACATGTCTATCTGGTTGTATTCAATTCGACATTATCAAGTTTGTATTTTGACCTTTGGCTACCATTCAATCGTGGACTTCTGCGTACACAATTGAGTGAATTCCCTTATGAAATACCATTATACATTAATCTTGTTTATCGTTCACCATCAACACTTTCTACTTATCTCTTCGGACAACTCATGGATTATACAGTAAATCCGATCTATGAGCAATCAAATCGACCATCATCATCGACATTGTCGTTTAATATATTTATACCATTTCAATCGATATCTTGGTCCTACGAACAGCCGTCCTTTGGTAGGTATTCGTCTGATTGAGATTGATTCACTTGAGAATGTACGATTGTTTCTACACTGTTAGAATGTTGCGAATCTAAATCTATAGCTGAGCGCGTAAAACGAACTGTCGAAGATATTGAAATGTGTCAATGTAAGTTTAAAGATCTTGTGTAGTTGAACTAATATCTAGTTGAATAACTTCTCACTCTGTTTTGATTCGTAGTCTTCTAAGTAGTAAAAAATGATAATCGTGACAAGCGAAAAGAAATTGTGATTAATCTTCCATAATAATGAGAGAAAAATATGATTTTAATTGTAAACTGTATTTGACAGTCGTATGTAGAGCTGTTGCATGTTTCAAACAATAAATCTTAATTTATGAACGACGAAAGATGAGAGAACATGCAACGATTAAAGATCGGATAAGACAGTTTTAGAATCGTTGTATTCTTACGTCATTTACATGTTGTAATCTTTAAGAAGAAGATCACGCAAATATACATCCAATGGATAATGCTATTAGTACGTTTCGGAAATCGTTACTCCGTTTCTTTGCTCACTATTGTTCATTAACATGAGAATAGAAAACATTTCTTTCTCGATGCACCGACTAGAAGAAGAACGGAATAAGAAACGAATGCGTCTAATGAGACAGATATTATAGAATTGTGCTAGACAAAGGCTATACAAACTTGATAATGTCGAATTGAATACAACCAGATAGACATGTATTAGTGCATCATTCTTAAAATTTTGCTTGAAAATAGTCGAAGACTTGTTCATATNATTATCGTTGTGTAGGCTAGTCGATGACCATCATCAAAAATGTAGAGAGAAAGAGAGAAGAGAAGAGAAGAAAAGAAAGATTTCTCGCTTTTTTATATTGGCTGGTGTAAGTTATACACACAGTTCAACATCTTTTCTATGTTGTTCGGTGTGTATGTGTGTGTGTGTATATTGTTGGTAGGTGAGAACGAGAGATTAAGGTCAATGCAAATATAGGTGTTATATATACTCGTACTGTCCACTACTATCAGAGTGGAACCGTTTTTCCTTCGTACATTCGTTCTCCTTCCCCCCTGTTTGCCTCCGACTGACACTCACCCTCTTCCTTTTCGTATTTTGGTCGGCCGGACAACTCAATCAAGAAGAAATCATGCATCAGCCGGCGACAACTAATTTCACTCTCAATGCTCACGCTCTTTTTACTCATATACACATATATGCATACATACACACATGCATACGTATACACAATGTGTCGCCGAGACATAAAGAACACGGACACGAACCGATTTCATGCTTCTGACCATCATCACTGCTTTTACTACTATTGTCCTTTTCTCTCTTTCTCTTTTAACAACGACGATACAATTTTATTTTTCGCGTTGACTCAAAAGAAGAGTATTTTTCTCTCTTCTCCCTACTTGCATTCATTTCTTTACTCGTCACTCACAGTTCATTCTCCTGTTCTTCTTCCATCCTCATCATCCGTTCTCATCTACCAACAATATACACACACACACATACACACCGAACAACATAGAAAAGATGTTGAACTGTGTGTATAACTTACACTAGCCAATATAAAAAAGCGAGAAATCTTTCTTTTCTTCTCTTCTCTTCTCTCTTTCTCTCTACATTTTTGATGATGGTCATCGACTAGCCTACACAACGATAATGAGAGAACGAGAGAGACCGAGAGATAAAACATCTATATATATTTTTTTTTCTCTCAACATAGATGCGCTCTCACACATCACTCATGTGCGCTATGTTAAGTTCTTTGAATGATCAATCTATCCTAATCACGAATCTCATCATTACATATTTCTAATAAAAAATTGATGTCGTTTACCAACCCGCTTCCATTCCTTGTCATCTTATTTTCCTTGCAAATATATCGATGTCAACAGCAACATTTAAACTTGTTGAATGATGACAACATAAATAATACGTCATCACCATCACCATCATCATCATCGTCGTCGTTGTCCTCATTCAATGAGACTTTTACTACTGGTAAGACTCTTGAACTGAATAAATACACAAGAGTTGAGACGTTGATGCATTTTCATCTTCACACATTCTTAAGCAAGAGTTCAACTGGAATAATAAATGTTCGATTTTGATTCTTTTGCTTGTCTTCTGTACTAGTGAAAATTAGTCAGACGAAAGACCTATACTTTCGTCATCTTCTATTCATACTTATGTTTTACGCATACATATTTCTATGTGTCTAGGTGGTACTCTTACCGAAGCATCCTTAAATAGCAATCGCTTAATACCTAAAACGGTTAGTGAATATCCATTACCATTCAATGTTCGAACGAAGTATTCAACCGATGAAGAAGATTATACTTTATCTGAAGCAATTTCGTTTTCTGTCCTGTCCAAACAACAATCGTCTTCGACAGCGACCATTCTCGCTGGCTTTGCCTATGACAACATTTATTATGTTTTCGATATCGAAGAAGGCAAACCGAAAATTATTTTTTCGCAAGACGATCTTCCTGACGTTGTGTTAACAACCAAAGAGAATAATCCGATTAATATTAATGATGGTCAATGGCATAAATTGAATATTGAACGAGTAAATCGAAAGGTAAATTTGTCTTTCATTTTTCTTTCAGAACTAATTGTTCATTTGCATGTTTAGCTACGATTTCAGCTCGACAACATCGAACAATCAGATATGCAATTACCGGATGGTTGGCAAACAAAGACGAACATATTCATTGGAGCTGAATTAACACCAGTGCCACATGGAGACTTTAATGGAAAACTTGGTGATGTAAGTTAACAGGGAAAAAGCAACTCTTGCTAGATATTCGTTGTTTTTCTTCTATTGAACGTTGTTGGCGAAACATTCGTGAGTGATATTTTCAAGTAGAGCAGGTAGACAAGCTTTTGAAAGTTCTTTCAAGCGTATTAGCTGAATGAATTCAACTTCACGTATTTATAAATAATGAGATATTATCGATTGTCAACCTCGTCTAATCATGACAAATTGTACATCTTCTGCTCCGATACACAATTTTGTTTTTATAAAGGAAATTAGTCTTTGATAACTTTTGTATCAACATTTCAAAAGAGCCAATTTCATTTATCATTTCACTGTACTCCTACTGTATGCCTTTGATGATCGTTTCATATGTTCACTCTCAGGTGTCTATGTGAATAAACCATATCACCTGTCAAAATTGTATGTTGCGAACATACTTTTTAGATAATGGATATAATTGATAGACAATGTTCAGACGCTCATCGATCAAAATATGCGAAAGTAGACGAGTTGATATGCGCATAATGAAAAAGACGAGAGACGACTTGTTCAGCAAAAGCTTTCTGATATGAAAGGAATCTTGATGTAAAAAAAATGTCTTTTTCTTTATCTAGATTCTGGTAACGAATGCAGGCCGATCATTGAATCTTCGCGAAGAAGATACAACCGATGAGAATGAAGACAATCTAAAGGAATCATCGACGCCTTTGATATCATCTATACCATCATCAAGCGATAAAATATTTGTTGTTGTCGATATGAAATCATCTCAAACCAAGCAGATCGTTGGTTTCCTTCGAACAGATAATAGCGAAGTTGTTGTGCCATCACCAACAAATAGTCCTTTCAATACCTTATCATTTTCCTTTCGGACACGTTCAAACGTCAGCACACTAATGCAATTCGGTCCAATTAGTTTGAACATTGATGTTGATGGATACTTGGCATTAGTTATTCGTGATAAACAAGCTCAGCGGATTTCCTCTAATGACGAACAAAAACCAATCAATGATGGAAGTATCTATAGCGTTCATTTACAACGTGCGGACAAGAATATCGAAGCATGGATCATGAAGAAGAGTAGTGTCCATTCCGCCAAGAAAATTTCCATGGAATTGCCATCAGCAAAACTAGCCATTGATAGTTTTGTCTTCGGTCCACGTAGTCAATTCATTGGCTGTTTAGAAAATGTGACCTACAATGAGCAAGTTATTTCCTTCAAACATTTACCGTCGAACCGACAGCAATGTCCATCGAGCAGCATTGTGTTAAAATCAGCTGAAGTTCTTTCGACGAGCAATATTTTCATTGATCAAATCATTTCATTCAAAGAATACGATCGCCCGTTAATTGTCCCCATTGATTATCCAGAAGACTTTCGATTATTTTCACTTGTATTCTACACGCAAGAATCGAATAGTATTATTTGTTCGTTAGCAGACCGAACGTATGCCAATTTTCTTACGTTGAGTATTTACAATGGACGTCTATTGTTAACATTCGATGATAAACAACGAAAGCGTTTGAAGATCTTCTTGAACAATACTGGCCCGGTCGACAATGGACTCCAGCACGAAGTTGCGGTAAAATTAATCAACAAAAACGATTTCATTGTTGAACTCGACGGAAATGTTGTGATGAAGAAAATCAGCGAAACATTTCGTATTCAAACGATTTACATCGGCCAATTGGATAGTTTTCTCAAAGAAAAACATGCGAGTTTGGATGGTGATAACTTCGTTGGCTGTATTAAGAATGTCATGTTAAATGAACGAGCTGTTATCAAACTAGATCATATTCATCATGCCGGACGACTGACCAATGTTTGTCAATTATCAAAACGTGGACGTAAGTTAATCAAGATCGATCTTTCTACTACATTTTCACATGATTGAATCGAATTGATCGACAGATCTCTCGATCTGATCATTGGTGAGACACCAAATGAAGATAATTATTATCTTCAACATTCATTTCGTCAATCATTGTTGGCAATTTTGAATAGTAAATCAAGTGTGTACAAAGCACTTCGTTTTTCGAGAAGAAGTTCCTTTAGGCAAGAGCACTCTTGTCAAGTTCATTGATTTTACACATTGAGAGCACTTATTCTTAACTATTCGTTTATTGAATTTAATGAAAACAACCTCGTAGTTCAAAATAAACTCACAGCAGACATGTTGTTTGATCATTAAACATTTTCTAGCAATATTTATTGAAGGACAACGAGTTTCTCTTTCGCATTACTAAAGCAACA